GGATGGATGGATGGATGGATGGATGGATGGATGGATGGATGGATGGATGGATGGATGGATGGATGGATGGATGGATGGATGTTTCTAAAATAGACTAAGATAGTCAACCAATCTAAAAACCAACCAAACCTAAAGTCCCCCATTTCTGTGGTAAAACAAAAACGCAAAAAGAAAAAATTTGTGACAGAAATTACAAAAATGAACTTCTTTCTACACAACAGCTTTAATGTTCTTTCCTTTGTTTTCTTTTTAGAATTGCAAGTTTGAAAAATGTCTGCGCCACAACGTCCACACTGCTGTGCATCCTGATGCTTGTCTACGTCAGTGAAGGCCCCTATCGCCCTCAAAATCGCTACAAGCACACACCGAAAAATCTACAAGTAAATATAGAAGATGAAGATGACAACTTCACTCAAGAAGAACCCTTAGCTCCAAAATGTGAACAAAATGTCACAATGGCAAAGGTCTCAGGCTTTAACTCACTTTCTCCTCAGATTCAAACGTTCCTTTACTATCGTCACTGTCGCAGTTTCCCTGTGATACTTGACCTCCCTCACAAATGTGGACGAGCGCATGATCCTGAAGACATCTTCCTTTTGCTAGTAATTAAAAGTCCACCAAAGAACTATGAGCACCGAGAGGTGCTACGTAAGACCTGGGCTAAAGAGAGGACGCACAACGGGAAGTGGATCCGGACCATCTTCATCACAGGAACAGTTGGTTCTGGGTTTGAGAAAGAGCGAATGAACAAACTTCTGGAACTGGAACATCAACGGTACAACGACATCCTCCAGTGGGACTTCAATGAATCCTTTTTCAACCTCACTCTGAAGCAGATTCTCTTCCTCGAGTGGATGGACAGACGCTGTCGACACGTCAGATTCCTGATGAACGGTGACGATGATGTCTTCGCCCACACGGAAAACATGGTGGAGTATCTTCAAAGCCTCAAGGACAATGATGGGAGCAAGCACCTCTTCACTGGACACTTGATCAAAGATGCACCTCCTATTAGAAATCCTGACAGCAAGTATTATATTCCACCTCAAGTGCATGAGCAAAACCCATACCCCGCTTACTGTGGTGGTGGTGGTTACCTTCTGTCTGGACACACAGCTTCAGTCATTTACAACATGTCTAAGTCCATTGAAATTTATCCTATTGATGATGTTTATATGGGAATGTGTTTGGCCTCAGCACATCTTGAACCTGGCAGTCATATGGGTGTGAAAACACTTGTATGGTACATCCCATCTGCAAAACTTGATAAGCATGACCCTTGTTACATGAAGGAACTCCTCCTGGTTCACAAATTTTCTCCAGCCAATTTATATATCATGTGGCACGAAGTGCACAACCCCAAACTACAGTGTGGTCTCAGCACATTAAGGTAGTAAAACCACCGTTTGTCACTTGGATCATTGCACTTTCTATGAGCTTGCATCGTAGAAATAAAGTTTAGAACTGTTCAATGGTTCTCGGCACAACTCAGTCCAAAACAGACCGGTAATGTTTTATTGTATTTTAAGACATTTATAAAAGTAAACAGTCAGTTAGAAACTTAAAGACATTGAGATAACCTATGAAAAAGCTTTTTATATATATATTTATACTTAATAAGATAATAATATCTTTTGTTTTTCCTCTTTTTTTTTTTAATTTTGACCATTTTGAGAATGGTTGTGACTAGTATCAGAATGCCTAATGGGACTTTCTTTAACTGTCACGATGTGCTGTGGATCATTTACAATCTAATAGCACACAATTGTAACACAAAGATGCCTTTAAAAAAAAAATCTAAAGGTTTTTTTTTTCTGTTTTCATCAATCAGCTGACAGGAGCGGACAATTTTAAGGGCGACTGTAAAAACACCAGACCCCACTCCTCCCTTCTCTTCTCAAGGCGTGTGTCTTGATAACCCTGAAAACGTGTCATTACTTCAAAAGACAGCCAACAGTGTGAGCGCGTTTACACAGACACACAGCAAAAACTGCTAACAGAACAGTTTAAAAACCAACACGTAGACTGAAAAACTAAGGACACCGTTCATATACTGCAATGACAAATTTCCATAAATGCTACTTGTTTGGCAGCTGACACTCTGTACAGACAAGAGCACAGTTCGTAAAGGTGAAGTTATAGAACGCGAGGACAAAAACAACATATTGGTACACACCTCAGATTTCTCAGATTTTTCTGCAACACAAAAATCTCCTGTTATTCCTTCAGCTCAAGCAGACAGCAACTCACTTTGCCCTCTCTTTGATTTATTGTAATCTTTTGAACCTTGCTTTTCTTGTCATAAACCGTTACTGGACAGTTTCAGCCATTTTTGGAATTTTGCGATTCCGGTTTCAATACCCATCGTAGCATTCAGTCTGTATTAAAACTAAAACCATCCACTAAATCGCACTGGAATTGCAAAATGCTTTTGAATCAGGTGAGGTTTGTTGTATGCAAATTTGTGACGTTACCAATGATTTGCATTTTATTTTGAAGTAATGTCATATATGACACAAACAGTATGTTTGAATGATGTCTTGTAACATTCTGGTACATGCTGATGGATGGACTTGCAGCAAGTATGTGAACTGACTGGTTCCTGTGAAACACTTGGTTGGATGGCGGCTTCTCTGAACCTTTCTGAAGCGTTAGGCACTTGTCAAATTTAAAACAATTATAGCTGCTGCATACGAACAAGCTTGGCTAATACCATTAGGAACAATCTGAAATGAATCACATGAAGTGTCATAATTTTATAGTTCCTGGCCATGTTTGTTTATTTCTTACCCAGCAGATTAATTGAAGGATTTATTAAAGCATTATTAGCTATTTATTATGCAAACTAGACTACTGATCCTAGCCCAGTCTGTAATGTAGGACATGTACTGACATGTTATAATAATGCTAGTATCAGTTTTTAAAAATAGATGTTTTAAGAGCATTATTTTTTTTTGGGGGTGGTCCCTTAAGATACAATGAAATATATAGATGTAAAATAAAATGAAAATTAAACGTTTGTGATTGTGTTAACCAGTTAGACACGTATCAGAAACCAACAGGAGCACTGAACGTTCGTCTTCCCCTGCCGCCGCTCTTGATTCAGCTCCTGGTCATGCAGTCATTTCACTTACAACAAAAGCTTATTTTTCTCTTTTACAAAAATATAAAACCATATAATTTATAAGAACAGGTTGCTAAACATCTAACATGAATCCATACACAATAACAAAATCCAAAAGGAAAAGTTTATCACAACCACAAACAGACAAATGCTCTTTGTGGTTGTGATTAATTATTCCTTTTGCACTTTATTATTGTGTATAGATGTATATATACATGTCAACGCTCCAATGTTGCCATGGAAACATGTAAATAACAACTCAGTTGTAATCGTTAAAGCTAATACTGGCTTCGAAAGTAAAATGAAAGAAGTAGCTGGCCAAATCATTCATTTCATCAAAGCCTTTCTGATGTATGGTGAAACAATGGCATGCATCATGCACGTCATCTTTAGTTATCTGTGATCTTTTTTACGGAGGCCGGGATCGCCGTACGTAACTTTTTATCAATTCGCTGCAGTTACTGAACACTGCTAGTCCTCTGCATTGTAGCCAGCACTTGAGCAGTGTTTTAATGTATTGTACATTACATTTAAAGTCACTTTTGGCCACAGGTATGTTATCAAAGGTTGACATGAACAAAAGCAGTGGAGGTGGCCATTGCTCATGCTGTCTGATGTATTACGTGTTAAGGGTTTCTGGCAGTACTCGTGATGTCACAACATACAGCTGTGGCTGTGGAACATTATATTTATGTGTTTTTTTTTATTGTGTGAATAACAAACTTTTTAAACAAATATGTACACATTGGTACTTTCTGTATTCGTTATGCAGATAAGCTTTTTTCTATTGTAAATTATTACTGTTCGATGTTTTTAACTTGCTTTTCCTTTTACGTGAACTATAAATGCACTGTGCATGCACAAAATTAAATGTTGTTTTTGATATTTATATATATATATATATATATACACAAACAAACACACTCACACTCATGTGCATCAGCCTCTTACTTCTGTGAGCTAAAGCTACACTTTTTTTAACAGCATTCAAGGGGCATCCAAAACCACTCTGGGGGTCGCAAATGGCCCGCGGGCCGCACCTTGGTCACTCCTATACTCGAGCGACTTTCAGTTTAGACAAAGTGTTGGCTCAACTGGAAACAGATAAGATATGCATGAGCTAAAAAAATAAAAAAATAAAAAAAAAAGACATCTGCGGATCTAAAGGACAACTTACATAGTGTTTGGAGGGATTCCTCCTCTTCTGCACGTTCACGACATTCACGTCAAGGATCGTGCGGAGCTGCATCTTGACTGAAAAGTTTAAAAGAAAACGAAAAAAGCTACAAAAGATCTCCACCCATGGAAAACGTGACAGCTCAGAGTTTAGAATAAAAAAATCTTGTGCAGATATAAAAGTTAAGCGGATAAAGACGCAGCTTCTGCAGTCAGGTTGAGTGTTCCCATGATCAGCGGCTTGTGAACTCTGTGAAACATGACTATAAAAATGGGATTTAATCCGACTTCTCCTTCCTGAAGAAGCGTCGGGACTGGCCGGAGCTGAGGGGGGAGTCAGAATAAAGAAGGGGAGGTCCCTGCTCAGCTGGACACGCATCACAGGAGGACCCTTCAGGAAGAACTGAGCTCAAACTGGGACAGTGTAAAAGAGTTTATGTTTATTATTAGCTAATAAAGTATTATTTAACACCAGTATAATCCATCCATCTGGACATTTTTCTTTATCTGCTTCTCATTTCCAGGTGGTGCATGTGGGAGAAGTGGGGGACACCTCAGGTCCCAAGTTTATCACAGGACCACACAGAAACAAAGGAGACAAACCACTTGCACTCTCACTGGCATCTAGGGAAAATGTAGTTACCAGTTAACCTAATTGTTTTTTTTAACTGTGGAAGGAGAGTACCCAGAGAAAACCCGCACAAGAACTATAACCAGAAAAGTAATTTTGATAAGCTTTAAACATTATGTTTTAAAAAATAGGCGTCATTTGGTTAAGCCATTAACTGTGGAGTAAGACTTCTGCCCTTTTCTTCAAATAGTTTTTTCACTGATCGTGTTAAAGGTACTAATTATTAATAACTCTTTAGCAGAACACAATTTGAAAAATGACCCTTTAAGAAAGCCTTGGACGGGTCGACACCTATTAAATTAATTGTATATCAGTATGTGTCTTGTTTGAATCATTTAATTATGAGCTCATACACAGAAGTGGTTTTTTTTTTTTTGGATCAAACTGATGTGTGGAAAGTTTGGAAGAAAAAGCTGAGTCATCAAAACTTATGATTGTCACTGTCATTGCATACTTGAGTTGTTAAATCACCCATTGAAGACAAAGGAGGCGTTGGTGTTTAGATCGATTACGTTATGGAAGTCCAATAGTAACCATGTTTGGGGAAAATCCGTACCCAGATGCAAAAACCAAAACTCAAAATGCTCGAATAAAATAGAACTGATTTATTTAAACAAGCAAAACAAAACAAGGTATAGCACAAAATGCTCATGAATGAAAACTTTAAGGACTGGCAATGCTCAAGACGAGAGGGACAAACGTTAACAGCACGTCAAACACAATGCAATGCAATGAGAGATAAACACAATAATGACACTGTGTTTAAAGAGACGCTGATGACAGACAAACACCTGAGGAAAGACAATGAGGATCAGGTGAGAATGGGAGGGACGGGAGCTGAACTTCCTCAAGGGTTAAAACACTGGGTAAGCTGGAAACGCAAGTAAAACACAATCACAGAAGATTAAATGACACAACACAGAGAACATGGCAGTACACCATAAAAGCTGGTGTAAACAGAAATATTTAAACGCTTTAAAAATAATGTTACAAGCAGTGTTTAATTAAAATTTAAAAAGAGTTCAGCTTTTATATCAAATACTCTGACAAATTTTGGGAATATCTCAACCATGCTTGCTCGAGTGAGCGAGACCTGCAAGTTGGAGGAGAAAACTCTCAGAGTTAAAGTTCAAGTACTAAATTATTCAGGGGTTACAGCTACTGAAAGCCAATTGCTCATGGGCCAGACATCCAGCAGTTATTGTCATTAAGTATGTTCGTTTTATGGTTTAAAATCTAGTTTTATTTAAAAATTAACCCATTGGTGGGCTGACCTGAGCTCATCCGTGGGCCTGATTCAGCCCCTGGGCCACCATAGCCCTGTTAAATGGACACTTTACTGGATGTGCCAATGTCCAGATTGTACCATAGTAATGACAAATTAAACTTTAGCTTGGATTTTCACACAAAGGTTCAAATTCTTCTGAAAATATTGCATTTCTTGTTCTACCTGTTTTCTGCCTCAGCGCTAAGGTGCATACCATCGTTGGCTGACAGACGCTGTCGGACATACCAGAGATTAGTTCACGTTGCTCCTCTCCCTTTACTGGATTTATTTCAGCAAATTAATCTACTTTGTATAACTTTGAACTAATCAGCATGAGGATCTCTATACGGTCATTTAGAGGAAATTTCCCCAGGTGTTCCAGTCAGTCTACCAACATGAAACGGTAACTCCATGACTTACTTCTGTCGTACGGGTTTATGAGCACATGTCAGCCGTCTATACCTTTTGAACATTGTTGTACACGAGAGTTTAACTTGTTTAATGTTATTCAGATAGATTTATTTAATGTACTTTTCATTATCTTCCTGTTCTTTCAGTGGTTTTTTTAATCACAAAAAGAAGGCTTTTTAGTTGAAGCAACGTATTTTATTGTTTTGTTTTTTTTACTGCATACAAGATGGACAACCTGGTAATTCTTAACCTTTTCAGTGACTGACTCTGAAAATAACTAACATACACCTATTGCTGGTGGAGGCTCAAGCATTTCTAAACCAATTAAATGAGAGCTTATTGACAACACAAACAGCCTTAACCACCATTAAACAATTTGTATTCCTTTATAACTACTGTTTATATATATTTTCTAATGCAGCCAAAGATTCTATTTTGAATAACTTTTAATTTTATTTGATGACTGGAAATCCTCTCAAGACCCTGGGTGGGAGCCAGTGCTCTAAAGAACTGATCCCTGAAAGGTGATTATTTTGCAAACAAAATGCAAATTTTATTGAATAAAAAAAGCGTACCTTGTTTTAACTGTCCTCTTGTGGCTAGAGATATCGGGTTGTTTTGGGGATCTGTTGGGGACACTTTTCCAGTCTGGGGGTCCTAGATGTTGGAGAAAATGTTCTCACCCATTAAATGGCCGTTATTAGTTGTTATCATCTCCATAAGTAGTGGTCAAACTGTCCCACCTACCTCCTAGTAGGTTTAAAGGTACGTTATTATCGTTATTATTGCTGATAATAGGCAGCGTCGTATGGGGGTAAACCAGGAAGTGTCTTTTTTGTTTTTTTCAGCTTATGTAACCCATTTCCTAAACCTAACTTTACATCTGACCCAGAGGACCAACCCTAAACTTAAACCCCTTACCCTTGTACCTAAACCTAACCAAGACCCTAAACCTAACCGCCAGACCCTTTACTCTAAACCTAACCACATGAAGCTATTATGAGCGCTAACAAAGCTAAAAACAGAGCCTATTATCATTGCTAACAACGTACCTTTAAACCCACTAGGAGGTACAGGAGGGGCAGTCTGACCGCTACATATGGAGATAACAACTAATAACGACCATTTAATGGCTGATAACATCCGAAGCGGGTGAAAGGAGCCACGCTCGACTGCGGGAGATTTTTAATCGATATTCTACTTGCAAGGTCAGATTTTCAGGACAGGTTACACAGCAAGTACACACAAAGACCAGTCATGAGAATCTGCCATGAGCCGTGTGCAAAGCTTGCTTTTATACGCTTATCAGTTCATCCGAGCTCACGGACTCTGACTCGGCGTTCTTGGAGTGCCAGCTGTATGCCTGTAGCTTCACCTACCTCCACATCCATCACTCTCGGCTAACCTAAACGTATGATTCATTTGCAGAGTTAACATTGTCATCCATAGTATTTAAAAACATCCTTAAACTTTTACCAAAAAATTCCCTAACACCAGAACTTTTGTACTCCAATGACCACTGGCAGAGGCCTTGTCTTTCCATAACTTCTCCATTTTCTCTTTCAGAAATTATTTCTTGAGTTTTTTGTGTTCCTTCTTGATGTTATAGTCACTTTAGATTAATAAATCTACCACTGCCTTCTTCTGTAGTTTGTTGGCCACTACAATGTCAGTTAGCCATCACCTGGTTGCCAGTCTGGATCTGGATGCCACTGTGTGCTAGATTGCCTCACAGTTGCTGTGGTCTCTGTGATGATACCAGTAGGTATATTTAGCAATGCTGCATTTGCATCTTTTAAAAACTTTCAGAAGGTACTTTATCAGGTTTCTAATTTGGCCATGATCCATTTCATTTAAACATTTAAATCAACTTTAAAAATGACAAAACATGCTTTTGATTTTAATTGTAAATACAAGAGAGTGAATGTCCTGATGCATGCTCAATAATGGTTGTTTGTCTCGTTTGTCCCTGTGATGAACTTGTGACCCATCCAGGGTGTCCCCCTCCTCTCACACAGTGACTGCTGGACATGGGTGCCAGTGATCCCTGCAACCCAGAAAGGAAGATGTGAGGAAAAGATAATGGATGGATGAATAGATACATTGAACCTGCTGCAAGTGGAAAATTCAATGTTTTCCTAGAGACCAATTCTTGTTCGCATTTAACAGATAAGTCACAAAAGAAAAGGAAATGTTTCTACTTCATCTTCAATTATACATTATCAATGGTTGCATGACATGTCCCTATGGCTTTGGACTTCAGAAAAACTGTTTACTATTGGCTGAAAACACACTCACACACACACACACACACAAAGAACTTTAGGCTCCAAACTCCCAGCTTGCCAATCTGATGATGTCTGTGGTAAGAAAGCCAAATTCACAGGGACCCCGCCACAGATTTAGATCCACTAATGTCCTTGTATCACCCATCCATCCAGAATCTTTACCTGCTTCTTCCTTTCCGTGTCATGGGGGATGCTAGTGTCCATGTCCAGCAGTCACTGTACAAGAGTCGGAGTACAAGTACACCCTGAACAGGTTGCAAGTCCATCACAGAGCCGCATAGAGACAAAACTAGACAAACATCCATTTGCACTTTCATTCACGCTGAGGGATAATTTAGATTAACCAGTTAGCTTAACATGTATGTTTTTGGTCTGTGGGAGGAAACTGGAGTACCCAGAGAAAACCCACGAATGTATGGAAAGAACATGCAAACTCCACCCAGAAAACTCCCTGGCTGGGATTCAATCCAGCATCTTTCTCACTGAGAGGTGACAGCCCTACCAACTGTGCTACCATGCCACCCCTGTCTTTGCTTCAGACAATACAAAAAGCCACTCGTTTTCCTTGGCCAGGCCCAGATCAAAATAGGTCCAAATTGGGATAAATTTTCATTGTTATGCTGATGATACACAGTTACATTTGTCCATGAAACCCAATTAATCCAATCAGCTACTTGGACTACAAGCATGTCTTAAAGACATAAAAACTTGTATGACCCTTAAATTTTCTGCTTCTGAACACAGACAAGACTGAGGTGTTAGTTTTTGGACCTGAGCATCTTAAGAACAAAATTTTCAGTTAATCCAAAATGCTGCTGCCAGAGTCTTAACTGGAGTTAGTAGAAGAGATCATATCTCTCCGGTTTTAGTGTCTCTCCACTGGCTCTCTGTCAAATCCAGAATTGAATTCAAAATCTTACTTCTAACCTGCAAAGCTCTCAACAACCTAGCTCCATCTTATATTCGAGATTTTATTGTTCCATATTTTCCCAACAGAGCACTTCGCTCTCAGACTGCAGGCTTACTTGCAGTTCCTAGAGTTTCCAAAGCAGAATGGGAGGACGATCTTTCAGTTATCAGGCTCCTCTCTTGTGGAACCAACTTCCAGTTTCAGTCTGTAAAGCTGACACATTGTCCAGTTTAAAGACTGGGCTTATGACTTTCCTTTTGGATAAATCCTAGAGTTGGCTTGTTATGCTGCCTTAAGCTTAGACTACTAGAGGTTAAATTGTCCACATTTCTTTAAATTATTTGTTAAAATTGAATAGTTTTCATTTGATACTATTTCTATCTTAATATGTGATTCTTGACCTGCCATGTGTATCTGTTCCTATCAAACCCAACCAGTCGAAGCAGATGGCTGCTTGTCCTGAGCCTGATACTGCTAAAAGTTTCTTCCTCATGAGGGAGTTTTTCCTTTCCACTGTCGCCTTCATGCTTGCTCAAGATGAGAGTTCTACGATGGAGTTCAACTCAAAGTAGTCTGCTCCTCAGATATATAGTGTTAAATTATTATTTTATATATGAATGTTTCTGTTAATTTATTTTAATATATAAATGTTTCTGTTCGGTGTCCTGAGATGACTTCTGTTGTGACTTGGCGCTATACAAATCAACTGAATTTAAGTGAAAATTGATTTGACTGGTCCAAATATGTATCGTTGACTAACAAGAAGAAATTGGACTCTTTAAAATCACTGTCAGATGAGATTTCAGTGTCAGTCATTCTGGTTGATAAAACACATGTGCTGTAACAGCAGGCTACAATTTCCATTTTATAACAGTATTTTCTCATGTAGTTGAAATGCACTTTAAAATTATGTGAACAAACTCTTGATGCTAATCATTCATCCCTTAGTAATAAACCACTAAGTAGTAAATTACCTTTAGTAATACAGCTCAGTTTTAATTATCTAATTTAACTTCTTTTCTTTTCCTGTTGCAGATTTTTATACATGCAATACCTATTGGCCCCAGCTTCTTTTTTGCTATTACTGCTGATGTTTTTCTATTTTAGCGGACCTAAAGACCACCCTGACCCAGAAACTTTCAACAGTTCCCCTCAGAATGATAATCTTCTGACAGAAAAGGACATTTTCTCAGACGAGGAACCATTACCCCCAAAATGTGATCAAAATATGATGGTTGCAAAAATCCCAGGCTTTGCCTTTCTTTCTAGTCAGATTCAAATGTTCCTTTACTATCGCCATTGTCACAGTTTCCCCATAATACTTGACCTTCCTCACAAATGTGGACAAGCTCATAAACCTGAAGACATCTTACTTTTGCTAGTTATAAAAAGTCCACCTCAGAACTATGAACACAGAGAGGTGCTGCGTAAGACCTGGGCTAAAGAGAGGATGCACAACGGGGATTGGATTCGGACCATCTTCATCACAGGAACAGTTGGTTCTGGATTTGAGAAAGAGCGAATGAACAAACTTTTGGCGCTGGAACATCAACGGTACAACGACATCCTCCAGTGGGACTTCAGTGAATCATTTTTTAACCTCACTCTAAAGCAGATTCTCTTCTTTGAGTGGATGGATAAACGCTGTCGACACGTCAGATTCCTGATGAACGGTGACGATGATGTCTTCGCCCACACGGAAAACATGGTGGAGTATCTTCAAAGCCTCGAGGACAATGACGGGAGCAAGCACCTCTTCACTGGACATGTGATAAAAAATGCATTCCCTATAAGAGCACGGTGGAGCAAGTATTATATTCCTTATCAGCTGCATAGCAAAACTGCTTACCCCCCTTACTGTGGTGGCGGAGGGTACATTTTGTCCGGCTACACAGCTTTAGTCATTTACAACATGTCTAAGTCCATTCCGATTTATCCTATTGATGATGTTTATATGGGAATGTGTTTGGCCGCTGCAAAAATAGAACCTACCACTCATATGGGTGTGAGGACACTTGGATGGTACATCCCTTCCAAAACCCTTGATAAATATGACCCTTGTTACATGAAAGAACTCCTTCTAATTCATAAATTTTCTCCAGCTGAAATGTTCATTATGTGGCATGAAGTTCACAACCCCAAACTGCGATGTGGACGCCAAATGCTAAGGTGGTAAAACGTCTTCCTGTCAGGAAAGTTCAATCTTGTATCGCGTTTAAAGCTTTAGTCTTCAGTGGCATTGTGGAATGTGATAGTTAAAAAGCATTGATTTTCTTCCATGCCTGAAGATAAAAATAATCTGTTTGAGTGGCATTTACCATCAAGGACGTTCCTGGAACAGTGATGGCATGCCAACTCTGCATGGTGTTAAGCAAAAATGTGGCACCCGTATATTTATTTCTAAATGAAACCAGAACTCATGTGCCAGATTAAGAAATCTGAAGAATAGTTTACGAGAAATGGATTCTTTCTTAAGTTTCTATACTTGCAAATATTAATGGTGTGTCTTTTTCTTGAACTATCAGTAAATGGTCCATAAAAAACAAATACTAGCAGTAAAATATCATAGTTTTACCAAAATAGAAAAGTAAACAGTGTATATTTTTTTAAAAATGGCCTTTTGCCATTCTGAACAATTTTGTCTCTTCAAAAATAGTCCAGATGTCTTTTTTTTCTTTCTTTCTCTATCATGCATACCTAGCATGCAAGCAACCTTTCACTGAGTATTGTAAGGGAAAAGTACTACAGTATGCATTGTTATCATTATTATCTATAGCAGGCAGCTAAGTAAGAGCCCAAGGAGCAAGTAGGGACATACTCGATAACATCATGACCTACAGTACGAGCATGGCGGTGAATCGAACATGTGACTTTCCAATGCTAAGTCAGCTGCTCTACCACTTAACCACAGCCGAACATATATAATGTGTCCATAGGAGCAGCATATAACATATCTACAGCCCTCTCTTACATGTTTTAAGTTGGAAGGTAACAAAACTTCTTGATACTTGCCTTTACTGTAGATATAGGCTAATAACAATGGAAACATTAGCCAGTAGGGTGATTAAGAAACTAAATTAATTGCTTTTTTTTTATCAGCATTAGGTGCAGTAAATACCTAAGATTGTAAATAACTAATACATTTTCTTCAAACTCAGAACAAAATATGCCCATCCATTATCTTTTAACCACTTCTTCCTTTTTGGGTTGCGAGGGTCACTGGTGCCCATGTTCAGCTATCACTGTGCAAGAGGCAGGGGACACCCTGGACAGGTCACAAGTCCATCACAGGGACACATAGAGACAAACAAGACAAACAGCCATTCACACAACGTGTTTACAATGAAAAAAACATTTTTTTTTTATTGATTAAAAAGGCTATTATTTGTACATCTAATAACTTCTTGACAATAAAGGCCATTTTAATATAATACATATTTTAGATATTTTTTTTTTTTACCTGTTTTTGCTCATTGTGACAGCCTCAAGGAAAGTGCTACAAATCACTATCATATGATTACCACTTAAATTTGTTAAACAGCCTAGCTGGTATTTCAGAAGTTATTCCAGTCTACATAAAGTAAACGAAGCAAACTGTAGAAGAGATAACATGCATAACTTGCATTTCAGTCAGTAGATGTTTACAATAAACTCGGCACTGATTAAAAATGTAAAACAGTAGAAACTGAGGGCACATGCACAGCTTAGTGTTTGAAGGGATTCTTTCTGCACATCATCAGTACCAACCGTTTGGCCAGAACTCCCTCTTGCCAAATCAAAAAGGGCTTTAACTTTGAAAGTGCTGTGTTTTGCACTTTAAGGTCTAAGCAGCACATATAATCTGTCAGTAATATGCAAACTGCATCTCTTACTGTTCAAATATTCCTAAATATGTCATTTAAATACTTTTGTGCGCTAAACAAAAACATCATGTTTCAAGTATGAAATTTTAATTTGCACATAAACCTGGCACGTGGCAGTTTGCTGTACTCTAGTGGACGAGGAGGAGTGAGCAGCCAAATCCAAAGTTGGCGCTTTCCATCAGATGCAAACATTGAGATACTTCTTTTTTTTATACATTATATTTGCTTTCACTCACTTTACCCAAGATAAATTTAGATGGTTTTAATGAAAAGGGGAATGCAAAACTTTTATGGAGGAAGATCTGTCAGTTATCAGGCTTCTCTCTTGTGGAACCAACTTCCAGTTTCTGTACGTAATGCTGACACATTGTCCAGTTTTAAGACTGGGCTTAAGATGTTCCTTTTTGATAAATCCTATAGCTGGGTTGTTATGCTGCTATAGGCTTAGACTACTAGAGGACAAAATGACCACATTTCTTAAAATGAATTGTTAATTGAATAGTTTTCATTTGACGTTATTTCTATATTAACATGTGATTCTTCAATCAACCTTTATTTATACAGGTAAATCCCATTGAGCCTCGAGGACTCATTTACAAGAGAGACCTGATTTCAACAAAGAAAGATGACAACAATGGACAACAGCAACAACAATAAGCAGTTATAAAAACTCATACTACAGTTTTTTTTTTAACAAATAGGATGGCTAAAAGGAAAAAGGTAACAAAACAAAAAACAGCTAGATTCCAAGACAAATGTAGAAAACTAAAAACAGGATTCTTGACCTGCCATTGTGTATCTGTTCCTCTCAAACCCAGCGGGTCGAAGCAGCTTGTCCTGAGCCTGGTTCTGCTGGAGGTTTCTTCCTCATGAGGGAGTTTTTCCTTTCCACTGTCGCCTCATGCTTGCTCAAAATGAGAGTAGTGTGCATTGAAGTTAAACTCAAAGTCTGCTCCTCAGATAAATTATGTTGTTGAATGTTGATGAATGTTTCTATATATATATAAACTGCTATACGAATAAACTGAATTGAATAGGCTCTGTGCACATGCGTCCTGAATCACTTCCGCTTTGACCGGATGTCGGCATTCCAGTTTCCGGTTTAATTCCTGTATCCTGTCATCCCAGAGATAAACAACTAAAATGAGTGTTGCTGCGTCAAATAAACAAAAATATAACGTGCGTGGCAGCTTTAGATTTCAGCCGACGGTGTTTGGGTCTAAGGAGCACTGTTGTGTGCCGCTTTGCTCGTCTTCAGGTCGCTATAATAGCCGTTTGAGCTTTCACCGTTTCCCTAAGGAGACAAGCCTTCGTTTGTGCTGGCTGCAAAAAATCAGAAGAGAGGGATTTACGGTAACTCCTCACACCAAGGTATGTAGCCGACATTTCCTGGAGAATGAAGTAATTACTACAGAAAAGGGAAGACGAATTTTAGCAGCTGGGTCGGTTCCATCATTATTTGAGTGGAACAAATACAGCAGGAAGACACGAGCAGGTGTTTGGGAGCGCCGTTGTCGACCATCTAATCCAGAACCTGATTCGGCGGATCCAATTGAGGACAATGAACCACCCGTCATGGTACCTATGGTCGTGGACCATGACTACGGCGCCAGCAGAACCGTGTGTGTTGACCGGGAGCAATATCACAGCATGCTGAGAGAAATTGAGCAACTGAAAGAGCAGCTCCGATCCTGTAGTCTTCAAAAGCCGTTTGGACTGGAACGTTTTTCTACGTCACCAGAAGACATCAGATTTTACACCAGGTCAGAGTTGTAAAATCTAAATATTACGTTATGCCTCTGAAAAAAATTAATACGCTTTGAGTCATTGTATATTTTGTCACATTACAACCAAAAACAATTTCATTGTAATGTTCTTTGAGAGACCAACACAAGTACACACTTACTAGTGGAAATGAAATTATACATAATGTAACACATTATTATTATTATTATTATTATTATTATTATTATTATTATTGTTATTATTATTAGTAGTAGTAGTAGTACTAGTACTAGTAGTACTGTATTTACAAATGATACTGAAAAGTGTGGTGTGTACGAGTAATCGGCTCCCTTTTCTGTAACCAATATTCCTTCAGAAATAGCTTTAATGATTACAAATGGCTATGGAGTCCACCCGTGTGTAAACTAATGTCAAATACAAATACAGCAGCTAGTGACAGCCTCAGGTCGGTGAAAATAGTTGGTTTCTGTGATTAGATGACACACAGGCTGACTATTATGCCATTAGCAATCATCAGGAAACTTATGAAGACTAGAAGTTACTCTCTGATTTAAGGGGGCTGAACATTTGTGCTCAAAATAGTTTTCAATTTATAAAAAAATTACAAACCTTCAAATCATGTATAATTTTCTTTCCACTTTACAACATAAAATTTCAAAGAAAGATATTTATGTTCTTAGTTGTACCGTGTCAAAATTTGAAAACTGTTTTCACAGTTATAAATGTGGAGAGTGACAGTTTATATATATATATATATATATATATATATATATATATATTTTTTTTATGTGTTTTAGGTTCCCCTCATATGAGCATCTGAAGGCGTTTTGGAACTTGATCGAGGCAGCAACAGCCAAAATGGTCAGGGTCACCAGAGCAAAGAAAACCGACGTCATGAGTACAACAACTGAAACCCCTTTTACCAGACCAACTGTAAGTTACACACACACACACACACACACACACACAATGAGAATGCTGGTTTTGAACTAACATTTAAATAATTTTCTGTCCAGAAACTGCTGCCAATAGATGAGCTTTTTCTTTTCCTCTCCTACCTGTCTACTGGATGTACCCAGAGGGAACTGGGCCATCGATTTAACATCCACAGAGCAACAGTCAGCCGCATTATTGTGACATGGGCCAACTTCCTGTACTGCTTATTGGGCTCAATTTGTGTGTGGATGTCTCCTGCAGCTGTGAGTTCCAGTCTTCCACAGGATTTTGATGGCCGCTACAGTGACACACAAGTTATCCTGGACTGTACAGAACTACGGTGTCAAACACCTTCATCCCTGCTCCTCCAGAGTGAAGTCTTCTCCACCTACAAATCCCACTGTACCTTTAAGGCCATGGTGGGCATGTCTCCTCACGGAGCCCTGACATTTGTGTCAGCACTGTTTGAGGGTTCCATGAGTGACAAGGAAGTGTTCCGTCAATCAGGGATTACATCACTCTTGACACTGGACATGGCCATCATGGTGGACAAGGGATTCTTGGTGGATGATCTCGTACCTGGGACTGTTCATCGTCCTGCCTTCCTCTCCAAGAGGGCCCAAATGTCAGAGGTCGACGTTTTGAAGACCCAGTCCATTGCCCGTTTGAGGGTGCATGTTGAGAGGTTAATAAGAAGAGTTAAAGAAAATAAACTCTTTGATTCCACTATCCCTCTCTCCATTGCAGGAAGCATAAACCAAATTTTTACAGTTGCCTGTCTCCTGTCAAATTACCAAAATGGACCTTTGGTCAGGAAATGGAGATATGAAGTTTGACAGAAAAGCTGATGGCACAGTCTTGAAGAAACAGAAAATGCTGTCATTTACTTACATTGACATTGTCTTACATTTGTAAATAGATATTCATGATGGAAATATTTTGAAACAAATTTGTACATTTGATTTGATCAAACTCCTAATTTAGACATTTCTGCAGGTAAACATAGAAAAAATATCTGTCTACTTTGTGTTTGATTGAATCCATCACATTAGTGTCTGCATAAATTCTTTGAATAAGAATATCTTCCTCAGCTGAGACAACAAAATCACACCAGTTCATCCCAGTTATTAGCATCTGCCCCTGAACCTGCCAATAGTAAACATGAGTTTTTTTTAGTTCCAATTTGCCTGACTTCATTTGGAGATATGGACAGTCAACATAACTTTTCACATTTGGACACTTAATCTCAATCAGCCCGAACTGACATGGCTCAGAAGGATCAAAGATCAATCCGTCTGGAGATGCCCCTAGCCAAGGAGCATCAGGGTGAATCACAAATCCACAGGGATAGTGGTTGACTCTTTTAATTTGACAATATTCCCAGATAGCATCTGCCTCTAATTCAAGCCCTCTCTTCATAGCTGCAGTCTGATAGGTCCCTTGCAGCAGACGATTTGCCAGATCTTCCTCAGATTTATCTTGAACCTGGCAGATCTCCCTGAAGCGGGAGGCAGTCAACCTATGCCTCCTTAGCTGATGCCATTCAGGACATGTACTCTGTGCTCTGGTAGCACATTCAAATTTATTCACCATGTCCCAGGTGACCTCCATACTTTTAAGGTGTAGCTGTTGTGGTTCAGAACAAACAAACATGCTTTTTGATGGCTGTAGGTGGTAGTTCTTAAGAGGCAGAGATGGGCGGGGTGGTGCAGCATGGAAGGACATGTCTCTCTTTGCTGTTGCTGGCTGTTGGTAGGACAGAGGACTTCCAGCCTGAACTTTGCCAAGGGCAGAGTCAACAAGGGGAAATTCATGGCTGATTCCCATGCTGCAGATCATTGGTGCATCAGCTGCTGCAAAATCTTCATACATCTCGGAAACCTGGGAAAGTGAAAACAATTATTTCAATAAAATGTAAAATACATGTATATCAACTAATTTTAAGCCCTCAAAAATTCTACACTTTACAAAGAGACAGCACTTGAAAATAAAATTATTCAATACACCGGTAAGTCTACAACTCTTTGTTAGTACATTGTAGCCTACTGTTAATTTCATTTTTATTTATCAGTAATTTAAATACAACTACTTACTCTAAGGACAGAAAGGTCTGGCAAATCCCCACTAAGGCCTTTGTAGAGTGTGCTCCTGTGTATAAAAATAAGAAAAGAACATGAGTCAAAAATAGAATACCCACATGCATTTCGTTCAGATATGAAACATAAAATAATAGTGTTTTTCAAGCCTGGTCCTCAAGGCACACTGTCCTGCATGTTTGAGATTTGTCCCTGCTTAAACACAGCTCATTTCAGTTGGTAACTGATTAACAACTGTATCAGCTGTGTTAATGCAGGGAAATCTATAAAGCATGCAGAGCAGTGTGCCTTGAGGACCAGGGTTGAGAAACACTGTTGTAATACATCAGAATTTTTATTGATTTTTTTTTACCTTACACCCTCTGTTGTTGCTCCACTCTTCGGTTTAGCAGACAGCACAGTCATCTTGTCCACGGGGCCAGGTTTTATACCCTATTCAGTTATCCATGACACAGTTACAAGTTATACGGCAAGAAAATGTAATAAATTGAGTCTATTATTGAAGAGAAAACTTACTAAAGTTCTGGGCTTGTGCCACTGCTGTTCTCCTTCTGTACAGCTTAGTACAGGGGGGACCACTGACAGTTTCAGCTCAGAATAATGTGCTGACTGGAACAGCAAAGCCACACAGTGGTTGCATAATGCTGCACCAGCAACACACGTACAGCTGTGGTGAATCAGCTCCACAGGACACGAGTCTTTCAGGACCACCTGCATAAGAATGTCATAGTAAGAACTTATTATCTTAGCTTGGTCACTCATCAGCCATTCTTTCATGATGCAATCTTGCTTCCCAAATATTTTTTTATAACTAATGTCATAGAACCATAGTATCATGTTATGTGATTATATATTTAGTTTGGAGTATGTTCTATGAAGGTCAAGAGTAGTGTAATACAATTATCACAAGATTACATCTTAAATGAATGGATGAGATAAAGATAACTTGATTTCAAAACACTTTTAACCCAGAGGAGACCCGCTAGGTAAAAATACCTGGATAATGTTACAGAGACTGTGAGTGTATTCTTTAGATTTAAGTAAAACTAATATGCATGAATTACCAAATTAACACTGGGTTAAAAGTAACACATAACAACCATAAAAGAAGAACAATGCATGCAGCAAATAACCAAATGGGGACAAGCAAGGCCAAACTCACGTGTTAATATTCATCAAATAGCCAATTCCATTTTATTTTTATTTAAGAATTAATTACCACCTTAGCTAAATCCCCATTAACATTAGGAACGTCGGGTTACTGAACCAACAATCTTAAAACTGTCATCTGAACAATCCTATCTTCACCCTACACTTAAACTGTGAGGTTTTTCATTTTTCTTCATGGACCTGTGACACAGAGCCCTGACAACGACTTCACCTGTGTCCTGATTTTTGCTAGAAACTGAGAAGAGCAGAATGTTAGTAGAATGATCACAAAATATGAGCCTTTTGTTTAAGTGTGGAAAACCTGTTTCTATAACGTGAGTATACACAAAAATGGTCGTGTTGCTAATAGCCTAACGTTAGCTGCAAACAGTTAGCAACATCACAACGATCAAACTAACGTTACTTACCCTCGTAGTTGTGCAGGTAACTTGAGATATACAATTTAAATCCCTTGTTACGTTTGCTTGTCGGAGCAGGGGACCAGCCATCAACAATACGATGAACATCGCTGATATTTATCTTGGGCAGCTCTTGTAAACATCTAGAAAACGCCATTTTCACCGAGACCGGGGATTAGACCGGAAACTGGAATGCCGACATCCGGTCAAAGGGGAAGTGATTCAGGACGCATGTGCACAGAGCCTATTGTTTACTAACTTTTGCAATTAATTTAAATACTTGTTGATGCTAATGTTTGTAAAACGCCAAATTACTTTCAACCCTGTTGCACAATGCAGCTGCACATTGCTTAACAAAGGATTTTTTTTTTTTTTTTTTGCTAACTTGTTGCGTAATATTACAACAAAACGTTTTCTTCCTCTTCATGACGACAGCATGCGTGGTAGAAAGAAATGCGCTGAATAGAGCACCTTCCTGCAAAGATCCAGGAAACAGACGTCTCCAACAACAGCGTCAAGTTAACCAATGAGAGGGCAGCCAATAGCGGAAGCAGATCTGTTCTCCTTTCAAAATAAATGCACGCTGTCTCCATTTTTGCCACTTTAATGGGATACGTTACAACTTAATTTAAAGAGCGAAAAACAATGACTCATTTGTTTTCAAAATGTCTTATAAACTGCCGTCATTACTGACCAAGAACGCGTGTCTAACACTTAAAACGGTGTCAATTGTGAAGGCGTAGCGGAAGTGCAATAAGGTGAACAAGCTAGCTTGACGCTGGTTCGTCAACTTCTGTGTGGTCAGCTACTCGAAGCATGGGGGTCTGCTGGTCCTTTTTAGGTCGGTTACATTAAACGATAAGAATGTTTTAAATGTGACAGCAAGGTCAACATTTTCGGACTAATGTGACTTTTGGCGTGTTCGTAACGGAAACACGAGCGAACAGCGAAAATTACTCCCAGTGTTTCGCCTCCCTCCGCCTCTACCGCTTGAGTTAGCCACGACGATGTGATTGTAAATAAATACCGTCGAGGGAAGTTATAATTAATTATCATAACAGCTGGATGGCTTCATCACCTGTCTGTCAGCATTTATGAAACAGTCCGCATGCTCTTACATCGATAACCGTTGAGTTCCGCTTCGGGAGGAACCGCTACGTTTGGTTGACTGCATCCGCAGCCCATCCGGGGTAAGGAGGAAGACATAAAAAGAAGATGTCCTTCTTCAATTTTCGGAAGATCTTCAAGTTGGGACCCGATAAAAAGAAGAAGCAGTACGAGCACGTACACAGAGATGTCAACCCAGAAGAGATCTGGGATATTATAGGGGAGCTGGGAGATGGCGCTTTTGGGAAAGTGTTCAAGGTAAGTTCACTTCTTATATCCGCCTTTTAGTTTTAGCTTGCTCGTCCATTTGTGAAGAAACTCCCTATTCACGTTTAGTTGTGTTAAAATGGCTGCAACGATGAAGCCTTGCCCAGGCCACAGCCTTTCAAACAAAGGGCCCAGTCACTAAAAAAAAAAAAACAGCTTTGACCTTAATGTGTCAGAGATCACCAAACAAAGTTTGTGACAGCTGAGCAGGTGTTATAAAGATGAAGCCCAGTAGAAATAATCCTGGACTTTTAAGTAACACACTGACTCTGGCTGGTGTGTGTACATTTTTCTCTTCTGCAATTTATATTAGTATATTAAAGTATATTGGTATTTATATTTAATTAGTATTTATGTTTATATTAGTATATTTTATGTCTCTACGTTAGTGCAGCTACAGCGTGCGCTCTCAGGACATTATTACCTGCAGTGTCTCCTCGGTGCGGACTGAACTAGGCAAAAAGGACTTCTACTACTCCGCTCTTGTTTCCTGGAGTATCTTGCAAAAAGAAATGAAACGCTCGATCTTGACCTCTAATAAGTGGTTTAAACATCTGTTAAGTTACTGGCAAAAACCAATGTAGACATGTTCTTGCTTTTAGTTTTCTACACCGCCTTACAACCTAGCTGTTTTTTTTTTTTTGCTACTTTTCCTTTTGATTGTTCTTTTGGTTGCCATTTTATTTTAACTTGTTTAAAAAAAAAAATGTAAGCATCTTTTATGATTGTCTGTTGTTGTCCACTGTTGTCATCACTCTTTGTTGAAATCAGGTCTCTCTTGTAAATGAGTCCCGGAGGCTCAATGGGATTAACCTGTCTAAATAAAGGTTGAATTTGTTTAAAAATGTCAAATTAAGATTGTGTGAATGGTTACTAGGGATGCACAATATTATCGGCATGGTATCGGTATCGGACGATATTAACGTTAAAGTTAATCGGACATCGGCCATTCCATCAAAAATAACTCGCCGATATAAAAGATGCTGTTTTTGTATGACAACCCAGTGACAAGGATGCCTGCAGCGTCAGCACATCGTGATAACGTACCTGATCTCACGGCGGAGAGGAAAATTCAAAATGTCTGCGGTGTGGAAGTTTTTTATTTTCCGTCGCTGAAGATGTCACATTCTGAAGATTTTTGGACTACGTTGAGCTTCGCTACATCGTCCCCAGTCAGAGATATTTTTCCGACGTAACCTTACCCGAGTTACAAGCCGTCATTTCCGACGTCATTGAGAAGCTAATAGCCGATAGCACTTGGGTGAGTTTTACCACAGACATTTGGACGTCGTGTTAGCCCCGTTAGCATGATTAAGTCTTACGGCACAATGGATAGACAAAAACGTTGAACTTAAAAAGGCTGTCCTTCATGCACAAGAGTGCAGAGGATCCCACACTGCAGCTAGGAACCCGGAACAAGTCTCCACAAGTGAGACAGCATCACTGGTGACTAATGCTAATAAATAACATTTAATACTTTTCATTTAATATAAGTTAAGTGCTATGCATATCATATGGCTGTTACTGAATATATGTCACCAGCTCCATACACAATTTGTGTAGCAAATTAGCCTAAATGAGAGGGCTATGTTCTGACAAAAGGAAAGTATATAAAATATCCGTAATCGGCCAAATAAGTTTTAACATATCAGATATCGGCCAAAAATCCAATATGGTGCATCCCTAATGTTTACCCATAAGCTGCTATATTCATACCCATCTGCTCACAACGGACTCATGTTCAGGCTGCTGTTTAATACACCATATTATATTACATTAGTATTGTTTAGCATATATCTTAGATCCTTGTATACTTTCTTTTTTTATACTTTATCTTACCGTATTGCTATTTTTGGGTGTAACTGGGACATTGAGTACACATTTTCCTTCCACCTCATGTACCACATGTGATGCGAATGACAACAAAGTCACCTTGAGATATTAATTATTACCTTTAGTTAAACTAGTAAGTCCCATTTGTACTTTTGAGTATCCTCCCTTGAACAGTTATGATTTTGTGTCTGCCTCATTTTATGTTTTATAAATCACTTAACATTTTTAGGATTGTTTGTTTTTTGGAGGGCTAAGGTCACTTTTTGAAAGTGTTTTTCAGAATAAAACTACTTCCAGCTCAGGGCTTTTGTTTTGATGTTGTTAAATGAGTTAAAGGGTAACATATTGAATGAAACATGCTACTTGAATCTTATACATATCACAATATCATCTGCAAGAAAACTCAAGAAAAAATGTTTTAATCGTGTAACAACCTGTAAGCTTTGGGTAGCCTTTTACTTTTTGTCACGTTGTATCCCCAAATTATTCCCAAATGTTACCATTTCATACTTTGTACCTGTGTACTTATGATCAGGTTGTTGTTTTACCCAGTAATCCTAGCCCTAAATTTAACCAATTGTCAACGTTTGTAAATTTAAAATAAATGCTCTTTGTCTGTTGCTGTTTACCCACTGACTCCAGCTCTAATGTTAACCACAATCTAACCAGATGAGTAGATTACAGTACGATATCAATAAAATTCTATCTCATCTTATCTTAATATGGATTACTTTAAATCTTTGCCTGTCAATGTGGGTATGAAGAGACCATAAGTTTATAAGGTTTAAGGTGACTTTATTGTCATTCGCATCACATGTGGTACATGAAGTGGAATGAAATTGTGTACTCAAGGTCCCAGTTACACCCAAGAAGAGCAAAATATAAACTATAAAAAAAGAAACCGTATACAAGGATCTAAGATATACGCTACTAAATCCGTACCCATAAAAGTCATTAAAAAAAGTCATAAAAGTCTGGGTGTGAAGTAATCTGCTTTCCAACTTGTAACTAAAGTCTACAGACTTTATCAGGGTTTTGTTGATTGCTTTTGAAAAATTAGACATATCAGAGTTTTGGGAAGATACCAATATGCTGGAGTCGTATTGGTATCTTTTTTTGTTTGTTCGCTTTTTAAACTTCCATTCTTGGTCTGTTTCTGTCGGCACAAACTTTGATCTATTTAAAGCAACATTTAAGCCTGCACTGAGCAAAAGCAGAGACAGTGTCCTTCCTTTGAAAACTGGCAAAAGCATCATCTACATCATTTAATTTTCTGAGTTACATAGATTTATGTCTTTTTTTTTTTTAAAGACATCTTGGGATGTCTTCTTCTGGCCGTATTTTGCCAGCATGTTTTCATTCATTCAACTTTTATTTACGTATACAGGTTAGTGACGTTAGTCTCATTGAGCCACAAGAACTCATTTACAAGAGAGACCTGTTTTTAACAAAGAACACAGAAGAGGTACAAACAATAATAGACGGTCATATAAAAAAAGCATATAAACTGAAAAGTCAATAAAAGAAATGAAGAGACAAAAGCGTCTACTTTATAAAGTGGTGTAAAATACTAAAAACAGGAACATGTCTGTACTGGGTTTTGCCATGAACTTAGCTGTTGTTTAAAATCCCTTAGAGAGGTCAAGGTCGAGAGCTTCAGGTCGTTTTGAAAGGTGTTACAGGAACAGAGTAAGAGAAGGCCCTTTTTCAAAGTTCGGTTCACACTGAGGGAACACTGCAAGTAATTATGTCCTGAGAGCGCACGCTGTAGCTGCACTCACGGAGTGACATGTAGGAGGAGATTTATGAAGGCAACAGACCAAGAAGTGATTTAAAGATGAAAATGTACCAGTGGGAGTCTGCGTGAAGTTATTGATGTCCAATTGACCAAGGAATACAGAGTTCAGTGATGGGTACAATAATAACAGCTAGTTATGAATCTTAGTGCACCGTGGTGTGGTAGACAGCATCTGCAAGGTGCTTGCAGGAGCATTCATGTAAATAATGTCACTGTATCGCGAATCGTACCGCGAATCAACCAAAATATCCAAGTATTTATAAGAATCAACAAACTCAGTAGGGACACCAGTCGAAGTTAAGATAGAAGGAAGGACTGCTGGTAAGGATCAATAAAGTATATTGATTGATTAAGCACAAATTTGAGACGGAACAAATCTTAATTTAAATCTGACTGGATGATGTCGAATGCAGACTGTAAAAGCTGAAAAACCTTAGCAACTTCTAGCTCGACAATAAACAACCGTGTCGTCGGCATAGAAATGTAAGGATGCATCAGGAATGAACTGACCTACATTACTTATGTAGACTGTGAAGAGGGTTCGTCCTAAATCTGAACCTTGCGGTACACCGTTGTTAGCATTTATGGTAGATAGCTGGATGAAGTACAGTGTCTTCGATCTGGTCAGAAGGATAAATGGTGATAATGCATCCTTTTAACAAATGTATTCAAATAATTAAAGTGTATGACTGTTTTATGATTTGGAGAAATCAATTCCATTCATTTATTTTATTTATTTATTTGTGAGTTTTTATGTTTTGATACAGTGAGTTGGCACAGTGAGTATGTTTTTATACATAGTGAGTCTGTTAAACAGCCTCTTTCTGTTAGTGCTGCTTATGCAGTTCCTTCCTGCCTGGAGCTCCTGTGATCGAATAGTTTAAATCCATTTAAGTCTTGGGTTTATTTTTATTTGTTTCTTTCCTAGTCTGGTTAGCTGATCATCTGACTACTTTTATTTTTGCAGTTTAAACCCATATTCAAATATCTAGAGGTGAAAGCAAAATACTTTTGTTAGGTCATATTACTATTGACGCAGCTATTTAACAAGCACTTGATGATTGCCTCCTTTAGGTGTGGTGGAAATGGTTGCCAGACCAGTGTGAATCAGCTGGTTTAAATTAGTAACAATGGAAGAAAAAAGCCTTCTTACATGCCTTGAGAATAGGTTGTATACTTTAAAAAGTGAAGAGGTGGGGTGTTTTTTTTTTTTTGCAAAGTAATCATTTTTCTAACTTAATTCTATTCAGTTATTGACTGTATATAAAATTGCTTTTGTTAAATAAGGAATGGATGAGTCTTCCTTAAACAGTACGACGCTCACAGGCTCTCATTGGTTTGATTTAAAATACAGGTTTTTTGCTGACCACAGAGAATGGGATTCTTGGTGAAATGATGCATGGCAATGGGGAAAATACCAATGGATGTATACATCTGTATTGGAGAGAGTCTGTCAAACAGACAGCCTGTACAAAATGGAAGAGACGGAAAGTGTCTTGGGTCAAAATGTTTAAATATAGGGTCTGACACAGCAGTGGGTGTTAACCCACTAACTCCCTCTCTTGTGTTTTTTGTTCACTCCCTGACATTTTGTCTGTATATCAACGTCAAGTATTTGACCAGCCAGAAATAGCTCTATAGCTTCTTGTTAGTCTTTTTTTGCAACCAGCACCTTCAGCTCACCCTAACTTTAAACAGTTCTAGGATCTTTCAGAATAAATAGCTTCTTTTTTTTTTTTTTTTTTTTTTTTACATTGGAGTATAATGTATATTTAACATAATAAAAAGCACAAACTGTCAAACCTAGAAGAGGAAGTGAGTGCTTCACGTAATCATTTTATGATAGTTGTGGTCAAACATACAAGAAGTGTTTGACGAGATTTGAGTCGGGTAATTATTTTTAGAGAAACCTTTAATGTAAAATGTAAATGTTTCAAGTTTCCTTAATGTTTTGAAGATTACAGGTTTGCAAGAACATTGTTAGCTGTCATCAAATGTTGATTTCTCAACCCAAAACTGGCTTTTTGTTGTACAATATATGATATAAATCTAGATAAAAGTTCTTACTAGCTTTAAGCCACTATTATGTTTCAACATATTAATCAACATATTCCTTGAATTCAATGCCAAGTGTCTTGTCCCTTTTCTTGCTTTTATATGTTTTCAGTCCGTGCTCCATATTTTGTTGTTGTATGTTGGTTTACAGGCGCAGAACAAGCTGAATGGGACCCTCGCAGCTGCTAAGGTCATTGACACAAAGACAGAAGATGAACTGGAGGATTACATGGTGGAGATCGACATTTTGGCCTCCTGCAACCACCATCACATTGTCAAGCTGCTGGATGCTTTCTACTTTGAAGGCAAACTTTGGGTAAGTGGCAAAGTGGTTGACAGAGAAAGCTACATTTTCAGCTCCTCATCATTGTTGTAGTCAACAACATTTTGAACTTCTTTTGACCGTCGGACTCGGTTGCAAAAATGAAAATACGGCCCAACACAAAGGAAGAAACAAAAATCTACTCCAGTGTCCTAACGTAGCTGTTTTATTGTGAGCAGAGAGTCAAGGATTAATCCATGGTCTCATTCTGAGAGCACTGAGAGGCCCCAGAGCAATTGCGTCCTGTCAGGTGGTGTCATGTGACCACCCCTTGTGGATTGGCCACAGCTATAGGAAGATAATGGAGCGATTTTGGTGGCTGGAGAAAGTGTCTGTGAATAATTCATGGCTGAACGCAGGTCATACGTTTGGCCTCTGTCCTTAGACAGCATGATCAATGCATGTGCCTTTGCTTTGCATCTGATTCAGTTAATGTGTTTTATTCATTTTCAAACGGACACCAATATTTAAAAACCGTGCCTAAAAATGAAAATACTATAACATAGTTATTATTAGCTCAAATGGAAAACTTGAATAACCCTGTTCTGCCTAAAGCTATTAAGCTCCAAAGAACAGGTTCGATGCTTTTTTCTTTTCATTTAGTTTGTTTTGTTTAACCAACTGTAATCTTAGCTTTGATTCAGATTTTAACAATGTTATTAGATGATGAAATGGTTATACAAAACGTATAAAAATAAGTGGAAGCTATTAAATTAGCTACTGCAGTGAAGCTGTTTCATTTTACATCTTAATACAAGTATTATTGTTTTGTGAAATAGTGAATATGCAGACTATCTTTTTACTTGGGTCACCCAGTTTTATCTATATTATTAAGACCAAAAAAAAAAAAGATGACCAACACTGATCCATACTCTGGACTGAATTACTGAGCATGACCGCAGCCTCTGCTCAGATTTCTTCACACTGCACACACTTTTTAAAACCAAGTCAAAGCGCTTGATTTAAAAATGTATAACACATGGAAGCTGACAAATCGTTGTGCAGAGACCTGGTGTAGAATTGGCTAATTACTGTACCAAGCAGGTGTTGTTAAAATGTTCGTCCTGTAAAGCTGTGTTATTGTTTGCATCGTTCATTTCTTTTATAGATGTCACAAAAGTCCCATAATGCTCACAAAGATCTTCGTAGCTGCCTCCAGTTTGTACGAAGCGCATCTACTGATATTTTAATCAGGCACATTAGAGCATACTAAAACGAAAACGTCTTTAGTAGATGCTGGTAGTGGGCGATTGGTGTCCTATTGATTGGCTCCTTGGAATGTCCGTGTAATCAATAACAGAATGGGATTTCTTCTGTCCTTCCAATGAAGGTTGCTTTACCAGTTTACTTTGAGCAACAGGTTTTTAGTTGAAGCCTATTTTGTTCTTCAAGAGTCAAATTAAAGCCTTATTGCAGTAAAGTTATTTATGATTTCACATTTATTTATTTATTTATTCTGTTTTTGTTTTGTTTTTTCAGATTCTGATTGAGTTCTGCGCCGGTGGTGCTGTTGATGCCATCATGCTGGGTAAGTCCCTCACCGAAAGAAACGGAAAAGCTCTAAAGCATTCTTGGGGCTTTTCTTTGCTCCATCCTGAGGTGCCAGATTTTTCTACTTCATCTCAAAGCCTCCACAGTGGGAATCTTTTTTTTTGTTTGTTTTTTTTCCTTTTCCCAGTTTGAGAGGCCGTTCCAACTATGTAATTATTGCAGCTCAGGTTTCAAGGCGGGGTTATTCCAGTCTTATGGCCTTTCTGCACTTTGTGTTGCTTTGAAGCCTGAAGAGAAACCTCACCTCTTCTGTTTTTATTGTGACCAAATATGACAATAATTTTAGTAAAGTATTGGGTGTGTATGCATTGTGCTCAGTGTTCCGACAGATGTATTTGTTGAGCAACACTGGGTAATGTAGAAGTAAAGTTTGCCCTCCAGGTGCTTCTGAATGTCACCGATAAATTGCATTCACTGCTAATGTGTCCAAATGCCTGTGTCTGTTATTCGTCAGAACTTGAAAGACCTTTGACTGAGCCTCAGATACGAGTGGTGTGTAAGCAGACGCTGGAGGCCTTGGTTTACCTCCACGAGAATAAGATCATCCACAGAGACTTGAAAGCTGGAAACATTCTCCTCTCCTTGGATGGAGATGTAAAACTAGGTAAAAAACTGCAAGGAGCCAGTCATATTGCATACATTTCAAAAAGATTACAAAACTAACAAAGTGATGGGCTTTCTGTACTGTAGTCTTTATACATGACTTGTGGATTGTAGTTGGTGACGCATCAAATTGGTTACATAACTTTCCTCAAGTAAACTATTCATGTTGCTGCTGTGGTATCCATAGCTGCTTTCTCCCTGATGATTCATGTTCCGTAGGCAGAAGGTCATACCTCAGCCTGACAAACAATAATTATCAAGCTAGTCATCAGGGACTTGGTAAATCTTTTTATTCCACTAATGTGTAGATATTGTTAGTAGTGCAAAAAAGACTGCAGGCACAGATAACTGATGTTTTGTGACGGGCCCCGATTGATTTTAATGTATCCATAACTCAAGTCTTTTAAATAAACTGAGCTTAAATTGATGATGAAACAAATTGCTGTTCATTTCTACTTTCAGCTGATTTTGGGGTGTCTGCTAAAAATAACAACACATTACAGAGAAGAGATTCTTTCATTGGCACTCCATATTGGTGAGTCATATAGCTTAATTCTACAGTAAGTAGGCATGTTACTATTTATATCTGATAATTGTATTAACATCTTTTCGAGGAGGAATAAATGTGAAATATTACAAAAGGCTATATTCAGATGTTTAGATACATTTGAGTATTGAATAAACTGCTTTAAATACTTGAAAATAGGCCTGTCACAATAAACAATAAATCAATTAATCGCATGATAAATGAAAATTATCAACCTCATTTCCATTTATCGGCTTTGCTTCTTTGTGTCTCTCTTTCTACTGAAGACACTGGATGACAAAAGGCTGAACTCCAGTGCTCTTCACTGACCCCGCCCTTTCCTCTTTTCGCTTTAAAATCCATTTTAATGATCCAAAATTGCATTTTTGGATCATTAAAAGCAGCTAACTTGAGAAGCTAAGCTATGTTCTAGTTCTAGAATTGTGCCGCTCCAGGTGGCTGCATGTTGGAGCATCTCTGTTACTTTCATTCTGAGATTTTGCTTTTGGAAACTTTAATTCCTCTCTTTCTGGATGTAAATCACATTTTTTGGATGATGGTTTCCTCTGGTATTGGATGTTGTGCAGTTGGAAGGATTTTTACTGAAACTTTTTTTAGTTATGGACATTTGTTATGATGCATAACCATGGTAACAAGGCAGTTTTCTACAACCAACAGCAGCTGATTAATAATAATAATAATGTCATCACAATGTCAGCACTGTGTGTATCCATACAATGGCGAAATTAGTCTCTGCATTTAACCCATCCACCACCAGGTGGTGCAGTGGGCAGCTATTGAAAGCGCCCGGGGGGCATTTTGGGGGTGAGGCGTGCTGCCCAGAGACGCCATGTGATGTGCAGTGACTGGGGATCGAACCTGGGACTTTCGGGTCCCAAGCCGGCTGCCCTGCCTCTACACCATCTCGGCCCCATCTCAAAAGCTCAAATAATATCTCAACTACAGCATCAAATCTCAAATGAGTTGAAAAGGATGTTCTGTGGACGCATTCTCATCTACCTGCCAGCTGTGCTCAAGTGCCTGACCACTGAGATCCTGGAACTAGCAGGAAACGCAGCTCATGACAGCGGAAGGACAGGATCGTCCCTCGGCACCTACAGTTGGCTGTCCGCAGCGACGAAGAGCTCAGCAGACTGCTGGGAGGAGTGGCCATCGCTCTGGGAGGAGTTCTGCCCAGCATTCGGGCGGTACTACAGCCCGGGGGAACCGAGAGGCCAACTGAGTCTGGGTGGATGGATCGGACACATCTGCAGCCAGTTTCTTGGGATCCATTGTGGGATGGACCTTTACAAGAGATCCTTCCTGCCTACAGCCATCAGCATCTATAACATCTCTTAATGAAATGAGGATAACGAGTTACAACAACAAATAATTTCCTTTTGGGATTAATAAAGTATTTTTGAATTTTGATGTTGTTTTTTTTTTTTTTTTTGAGTGTACTAAGCTAACAGGCCGACCTCAAGAAAAAAAATTCTGTCTTGTTGAGGCTCCAAATTCACGGTTGAAACTTGTGCCTTTGTGTAAAAAGTTGTTTTTTTCTGCAAATAGAAGCTGAAAACTTGTTTACAGATTGTTTTTATTAAAAGCTTTGTGTGACAAATGCTATGCTAAAGAGCTCAAATCACACCAAGCGTCCGCCATTTTTAGAAAAGGATAAAGGAAGGAGAGAAAGCCCATGTGAGGCCTCCCTCCCATTTTTCTTAGAGACATGCTGTTCGCTCCCTCACTCCCTCACTCCCTCACTATCCTTCCTTCGGTTCAAACAGCCATATACTGCCATCCAGTGGTCGAAATGTACTACACACCTAACAAATTAACCAACATTTCTTCTTAAATTTGACAATAATTACTAATTATTATCAAATTCCAAACAATGTTATCGTTTATCGCAATAATTTCTGAGACAATTAATCACCCAGCAAAATTTGTTGTCATGACAGGCCTACTTGAACAAGCTTCTTCTCTTTCATATTCCAAACTGAGATGCGTTCACACAGTATTAGATTTTTTTCCTCTTTGAAAAAAAAATAATAATAATGGAGGTTTACCCTTTTAGTAACAGAAAGTTTATTCTAAAATTACATTCCCTTGCAGCTCGGCCTGTCACGATAACAAATTTTGCGAGGCAATTAATTGTCTCAGAAATTGTTGCGATAAACGATAATATTGTTTGAAATTTGACAATAATTAGTAATTATTGTCAAATTTTAGAAGAAATGTTTCATTTGTTTTGCGTGTAGTACCTTTTTTTTGACCACGGATGGCAGTATAAGACTGTTTGAACCGAAAGATGGATGGTGAAGGAGCGATGGTGAAGGAGCGAGCAGCGTGTCTCTTTAAAAAAATGGAAGGGAGGCCTCCTGACGTGACATGGGCTGTCTCTTTGGTTCTCAAAATGGCGGACGCTCGGTATGGTTTGAGCTCTTTAGCATAGCATTTTTCACACAAAGCTTTAATAAAAAAATGAATGAACAAGTTCTCAGCTTCTTTTTGCAGAGAAAAACAACTTTTTACATGAAGGCACAGATTTCAACCGCGAATTTTGGAGCTTCGACAAGATGGGTTTTTTTCCCGAGGTTGGTCTGTTAGCTTAGCTCATAGCTTAGCTTCTCAACTTAGCTGCTTTTAATGATCCAAAAACGTGATTTTGGATCGTTAAAATGGATTTTAAAGAGATAGGAGAAAGGGAGGGGTCAGTGAAGAGCACTGAAGTTGAGCTTTTTATCATCCAGTGTCTTCAGTAGAAAGAGACATAAAGAAACGATAAAACCGATAAATGAAAAAATGAGGTTGATAATTTTCATTTATTATGCAATTAATGGTTTTATTGTTTATCGCGACAGATCTACTTTCAACTAAATAAGTGTTTAAAAACAACTGTGAACCATTATCCAACATATTTTGCAGGATGGCACCAGAGGTGGTGATGTGTGAAACTTCCAAAGACCGTCCGTATGACTACAAGGCCGACATTTGGTCCCTCGGGGTAACTCTCATAGAGCTGGCACAGATTGAACCACCCAACCACGAGATGAATCCCATGAGAGTGTTACTGAAAATAGCCAAGTCCGAGCCACCCACGCTCATGCAACCCTCTCGCTGGTGAGATGGTGTGCTTGTGATAGCGAAAGAGGCGGCAGGGGAAAGTTTAGGGATTTGAGATAAGGATTTGTTAAGCATTTAATCTGGCACTTTATGATAGTTTTATTGTGTGCATGAACAGTCATCAATGTGAGTCCATAAAGCCAGAACAAGGTAGTGTTACTGTTTTATTACCAAGAAAATGTATTGATTTTGTTTTTTATTAAAAGGTCTCCAGAATTTAATGACTTTTTGAGGAGAGCTCTAGACAAGAATGTGGACAATAGATGGAATGCAGTCCTGCTTCTGCAGGTGAGCTGCCTCTTTTATTTATTAGTTACATCACTGTACAAAAGCATATAAACAGTCTGCATTTTTCCCACGTACTATATTCTTTTATTCTTATATTCTTGATAAAAAGGTTACGTTTGACTTGTTTTCCTTTTGCTTATTACTCCAGTACTAATTTCACACACACAAATCAGTTCTATGTTCCTTTTGTGTATGTAGCATCCTTTTGTGACAAGTGTAACTGATAGCAGACCTGTCAGAGAACTCATCGCTGAGGCCAAAGCGGAAGTCACAGAAGAGCTTGAAGATAGCAAAGAGGAAGAAGAGGAGGATGAACCCGATACACCTGTGGTGGGTATTTTTAATGTTTACAACAAGGGTTGTGGTGCTTAGACATGGCATGCTGTGGTTATATTAATTAGCAGGAAGGTGCAGAAGATCTTTTAATCTAGAATAATGTTAAATTATACTGATTAATTTGGAACAAGTTATTTAAGTGTAGGTCTTTCTATATTGTTTTATCATGCTGCCACAGTAGAGATGTGTATACTGGCTGTAATAAGTTTTTTTTATTCAACATAATAGTATGAAAAATAAATCTTTGTCATCAGAGAATGATCAGAGATCTCAAAGTACTGTTTTATTAATTGTTTTAACATTTTTTTTGGTTTTTTAACTTCAGGCAGCTCCTGGGCACAAACGAGCTCCATCAGATGTCAGTGTGGCCAGCTCGGAGGAAGACAAAGCCCCACCGACCCCCTCCAACCTTGAGTCTGTTACAGAAAAGGCAGAAGCTGAGCCTGTTAACGACCAAACCAGCGATAAGCTCTCTGATGAGGGACTTGGAACAAGTGAAACCGATAAGAACGAAGAGGAGAAACTCAATGAAGTGTCTGATGCCAGTAATGAAGATCTGACCTCTGGACTAATGGAGACCAGTAACAATTTTACCTCACAAGACTCATCCAGTGCTAAACTAGAAGGAGCTCAAACTGAAGATGTTTCTGTTGAGCCTGCAGTGTCTGAAACGAAAGAAACTGTAGAAGAACCTCAAACAGATGGTAAAGAAATGGAGAGAGGACAGAAGGAGACGGAGGAAAACAAAACGGAAGTGGAAAATACCCAAATAATAGAACAAAAACAGCCACAACAGGTTAAAGAAAAAGGTGTAATGGTATCTGTAGAATCACAAAGCAAGCCTGAGGAGGCATCAACACAAACTGCATCTGAATCACAGGAAGTCACGCAGGCTGACAAAGTGTGTGACGAATCAGAAGAGGAGATATCAACACATGAATTGACAGAGGCCAGAACAGAAGACAGTGTCACAGCTAAAAATGGAAACGCAGAGAATTTAGTTTTAAATGAAATGGACACAATTATAAATGGAGTCGCAGACACAAAGAGCAGTGTGGTGGAGACCTCCACAGAATCCGAATTAGAAAACAAGACCACAGAAAGTCAGTCTGAGAAGTCTGCCTCTGAAGAGGCAGAGCAGCCTACACAAGAGAATCGGGCAGGAAAGGAGCGTGAACTTCAAGAACAAGCACAGAATGAATCCAGCATAGTCAATGATGAGGTCAGAGATGAGTCTAAGGTTTCTGACCAAACAGCTGCATCTAAAGATGATTGGGAGAAATCAGCTCAAGCTGATGAAATCACATCACAGGTTGCCACATCTGTTCAAGAAGCTGATTCAGAAACCAAGATGGAGCCTGGAAGCCCCGCTGTAGTCAAGTCAGATGTGGAGAAAGACTCTGACTCTGGAAGCAGCTCTGCTGCTGACAGCAGCAGCCTTGACCTCAATCTGTCCATCTCCAGCTTCCTGTCCAAGAGCAAAGAAGGAGGCTCCATATCTATGCAGGTAAAACCATCTGCATCACACTCTCTTCTACTCAGTCTTCAACCCTGCCTTGATCATTTCACCCTCTGAAACATCACTGGTAATTTGGCAGGAGTCAAGACGTCAGAAGAAGACCCTGAAGAAGACGCGCAAGTTTATGGTAGATGGTGTGGAGGTCAGTGTGACGACGTCAAAGATAGTGACAGATAACGACACCAAGAGTGAGGAGATGAGGTTCCTGAGGTACAGCTGCATCCAGTCTGCTTGACACACTGTTTAAATCTGGAACATGACCTGTTTAACATGCCTGCCTTAAAATAGTTCCTGCTCATTTCAAAACTCTCGTAGGTTTTTACAGATGCCAGATGGGTTAACTGCCATGATCAATCCTGTTACTGTATGTTATTGTCATCTGTAGTGTTGCCTTTTAAAGACATTAGCTGTGATGCTCTGCTTGTGCAAGAACTATCTTATAATTTTCTGTTTGGTTCATCGTGTCATGTCAGTTTAGTACAAGGTAACCCGAAAAGATCAAGGCTAGATTAATCAAAACAGAAAAAGAATGGTGGAAGAAAACTGTTCATGAGCACTCTAGTAAATAAAATCCTGTCTCAGAAGTTTTGCATAGATCAGTTATTGCATTTTAAATAATGTATATTTTGGCAACACAAACGCTTGTTTCTTTTTTTTTTTTAAGGCGGCAGGAGTTAAGAGAGCTGCGCCTTCTTCAAAAAGAGGAGCACAGAGCCCAACAGCAGCTGAGCAACAAGCTGCAGCAGCAAAGAGAGCAGATCTACCGGCGCTTTGAACAGGAAACTACTGTGAGTACCTCTGTGATGTGGTGAATTTTGTTTCCCCTTTTTCTTCGTCTTTATTTTAAGGGGCCAATTCTTCTGACATAAGCTGCTTCATATCCGAACTGATCAAAATGTAATGAGCTTAACTTGAAACATAGTTGGTCAGTCTTTCTGTATCGTTTAATATTTCTGTTTAGAAATAACAGTTTATTGAAGAGTCCTGATGCATGCTCAATAATAATGCTCAAAATAGATAAATAATCCATCCAGAGGAGCTGACTCAACCTTAAGTTTATTAAATAACTTGGTGATAACGGCACCATTAAAGGTCTCTGCATACTTCATCCAAAATGGCGAAATCGGCTCTCATTGACGTATTTGCGTTACAAAAAGTGCGTCATTTTGTTCTCGGAGCAGCTTCGCCCGCCCCTTCTCAACCCAAGGCTTGGACCAAACTTTTTCTCACATGCGTGAGATACTTGCGGCAAGTATTATGTGATCAGTCAGAAGTTTGTGGGTGTGTTTTTCAATGCGGAAATGCGCTCGGACATTCGGCTGTACGACTCTTCAAACACACTAAATTAGTAAAATGGGCAAAAACTCCTCTGAGTGGCGATTGCGCAGACAGTGGAGGAGTCTGTCTGCTGAAAAGTGTGGCACTTTCTTCATGATAGATTTGTGGCCAAATGGCAGATGCAGGGACAGCATGGAGACCCTGGCAGGAAGAAACCCAAGCTGTGATATATATTGCAGCGGGAGGGGTTTCCCAGGAGCTCTGCACGGTGTGTCTCATGGACTATGAAAGGTGTGTGCGAAAACAAACATTCTACAACCATGTGACTTGGAGTCAACTATTTGGATTCAGATGGAGTATGCAGGGCCCTTAACCTTCCTGCTGCACTTGAGTCAAAGGACCCAGTAAACTGAGGCCTACTGGGTCATATTGATTCAAGAGCAGCAGGAGGTTTTAATTAGAGAATTTCATACAGCATAAGCCTAAAAGGCTCCATCCAAACTACTAATCTATACATCAACAACAATTTTATATCTCTTGGTTTTACAGACAAAGAAACGTCAATATGACCAAGAGGTGGAGAACCTTGAGAAGAAGCAGAAACAGACGATTGAGCGACTGGAACAGGATCACACCAGCCGGCTCCGAGACGAAGCCAAACGCATCAAAGCGGATCAAGACAAAGAACTGTCCAAGTTCCAAAACATGCTGAAGAGCAGGAAGAAGGAGGTATGGCGCTGCACGGCTGTTTCTGGGTGGGAACTGGTTATTAATTTTGTTTTAACGTCTAGCTGCATTTTTGCATGTCAGAGCTGTTTAATAGTGCATGTGTTTAACAACTTAGCTGTGACTTCATCTTAATTTGGTTTGGCGAACTAATCCTGGGTGTTGTTTTCAGCTGTTCAGCCTTGTAGCTACAGATGACTGCAGACTGACTGAGCTGTCGTTCGATCCATTTAGTTGAATCCATTATTTATCTCTTTTCTAAGCTTCTGCTGCCTCTCCTTCTTGTTGCTTTCTCAGAAATACTTTGCTACAAGTTGTTTTTCCTATTTTCTGGCTAAACCAAGTCGTATGATGTTCCCAGCTTACATTTCTGCTTTTTAATCAGTATTTTCTGTCTCTTTGTTTGCTCTTTAATAAGCATTTGATGCTTTGCTTGGTGCTTTAGTCATACGTATAATTTATACGGTATGATGCCTTTTTTTTTTTCAAGGTAATTTGTCTTTTTTTCATGCTGTTCATTGCAATTACTTGCTGGGCGTTGGGGTGCATCTCTTTCAATTTTTGAGCAAGTTATTTATTTAATACTTGGAGTATACAAGAAAATTAAAATGGTATATCTGAGCTTTGTTTTTTGTTCTTGAGATACAAACTGTAAGCATTTTTCTCTTTCTCAGTACATTTGTGTGTCTTATTTTGTCATTTAAAACGTTTTTAATGTTGAAAGAGTACTCAACTTGTGTATTGAACTAACCATGTCTTCTTTATAAGTGTGTGAGTTTGTGTTGGACATGGGATGACCAGCTTTGCCTGATTTTTTTGTTTTTAAGAGGTGTTGGGTTTCTTTGGGTTAAATCTTACAAGACTTGCATCAGAGTAACTGAAATGGAAATGTCTCAAGTGGATCTAAGATAAATGGGTACCACTTTGGGGGATTTCTTAATAATATACTCATTTATAAAGAGTCCCAAAAACTTAGCGAAATTGTACTTTGCAGTCTTTTTTGCTCCTGTGTTTTAATCTTTTAAGGATCAAGCATTTAATCATCAAGAAAACAATCATGTAATTAAATCTGTAGTTAAAGTTAGTTGCAGCTTAGCTCGTTATTTTTATCCATACAATAAAGCCAGTGTATATTTGTTTATCAGGTGGAAACAGGGGAGTTGCAAGATTGTCTACGTTTGTAAATGGTAAATGATAGATGGACTGTACTTATAGCACCTTTCTATCTTATTTCAAGATACTCAAAGTGCTTTACACTACAATCTGTGCCTCATTTACCCATTCATACAGCACTCTACTAGATCTCTACAAAGCTAATTGAACAAATCATTCTAAAGAGACTAATCAGTGCTTTAGATCACATTCATACACAGATGGGACACATATCAGAGGCTATGAGGGGTTCAGTGTCTTGCCCAGGGACACTTCGACATGTGACTGCTGGTGGATTCGAACCCCCAACTCTCACATTGGAGGACGACTGCTCTAACCACTTAGCCACAGGCGCCCAATAATAATACTGAAACGTTCCACCTCAGTTACTCTGCTTTTTTTTAATTCATAAGTCAAAATAATCAACGTAGTTGGTGACGGTGGCACGTAATTGAATGCGAAGTGGTCAAGCTGTTTTTGAAACTAACTTTTCTGGCATGCGTCGACTGATTTGCCTTAAATCTTAACCCGTGCAGTTCGAGCTGAGAGCCATGATGTGCTCCTCTAAACTCTGAATCATTCAAAACGGAGAATCCAAAGGAAGCTGTGGGGAAATAAGCATGCTGAGGTGATCGGAGGCTGAATCTCTTTCCTCAAAGTGGGCCATGCATGTCTCCTGTCCCCTGTTATTGTCCAGCAGTGTTAGATTTTCAGAATGAAACGGCGTCAACTAGTTTCTGCGTACTTGCACACTGTAGGCCATTCAGGAAGTTGGACAGTCACCTAAACACACGAGACAAGAGCTCATGAAACGGTTAAAAGAAGACCTGTCGCTCCTTAAGACTGCAGAGGTAAAGCACCTCCGTCTAAGACGTGACTTTTTGTTACTTGTTTTCCCTTTCCTTCTGACCTTTACATATAAAGATTACCTTTCTGTTTTCTCTGTTTGTCTGCCTACTGAGTTGTATTCACTTTCTCAGTATATCCTCTTTGACTAGATATTACTCAGGTTTTACCATAAATGTTACTTGTTACTCTGTTTTATCTGAACAGAAATGGATAGCACTAAACTGAATAGTTTTGTTACATTTACAAAGTAGCAGAATTATGTCCTTATTTGTGACTTTTGCAAGTTAAGTAAATGCATTTTCAACTGAGCTTCTAATAAATGTGTGCGTGTGTCCCTTGATGCTTCTCTGTTCGACTTTTGCCGACTCACTCTTTCGCGAGTTTTCAATGTAAAATTGTACACGACACACTATTAGCTGATAGATGGAAGCCGACCAACCAGCGCATTGTGCTGAGGGGACACAGGGACATTTCCTGGTGGGCTGGCCCACTCGGTGATCACCAAGGGGGACTAAAGGCTCAAATCCCCCACCCGCCCCTCCTTTCTTTTTCTGAGGCTGTCTGTCGAGCCTCAGAAAGAGAAAAGAGGGGGGCAGGGTCTGTCTTATACCCGAGTGAGCCACATGAGCAGCATGGATTGTTTATTTAAAATAATCAAGCATGACCCGAACCGAACCTTTAGTCTCACTCGGCGATCACTAAGCGGGCCAGGCCACCAGGAAATGTCTCAGTGCTCCCGGGATTGGCTCAGTAACCGTAGCATCAGTCTGTCTGCTCTCTTTTGCTGTGCTCTTTAAGAGTGTTTAGAACATTATTAAGAACATTGCAAGAGTATGGGAAGGGTTTATAAAGCCTTAAAATATATACAAATACTAAAATAAATATAATGTCCTTACGTCATGGATTTTTACCCCCGCTATAGGTGAGAGACTACTGTATATATATTTTTTGTTTGTTTACATTCACATGTTATAGTTTATAGATGGTGTTGCCCTCTAAACTACATTGTAGACATGTTCGTGATATGTTGCTGACTTATGTATCTGAACAGGATACACAATACAGTAAAATGTACACATTTACAGACTCACAATGGCTTTATTGTTGATGAAGCCACTATGTTAAGCAAACTTATTTTAATGTTTTGCAACTTTCTTTCTTCAGATGTGTGTTCAGTTTGAAAAATAAAACCAGTGGGGTAAATACATTGAAGTTGAAAATGTTTTTGTCTTGTAATGGTAAAGCAGAACAAAAATACTATTTATAGTGTTGCATGAATCATATTCCTTTCAGACTATCTCATCTTAAGCTTTAAAGTCTTTTTTTTTTTGTACTAAACTTGTCAGAGAAGATCATTCAGTGATAGAGAGGAAGTGTCTGCTCCTAATTTACCAGGTACTTTAAGGAACATTTTAAAAAATGAATGCAGAGAGAACTTTTGTTGCACATCATTTTCCCAAACATTGTCTTTTTAGAGGTAGCCATGAAAAATGTTGACGATGTCTTTTTTTTTTTTTAATTATCCATTAATCAAGTGTCGTAGGGTCAAAAGCCTTGTGGGGGAAAAAAACCTCATTTGCACGCTGGATTCAAATGAAATGTTTGCAACTTTGCATTTTGAGCTGTTTTCAAGCATGTCGTAATAACTAATTATTTGGCTTCCTCGTAACATCTAGACGGAGCAAAGCTGTGCGCTTTAAACTCACTAATTGACCCAAAGTGGAAAACCCATGCCCTTGCATGACATAGGAAGAACTGGTATGAGTGCTGGTGTTTGTTCCTTTTTTATTTTATTTTATTTTATTTTATTGTGGGTATGTGAGAGTTCCTCAGTCTGCTGATTGACCCTGATAGGGCGAGTCTGCCGTGTGCTCTCCTCCGCAGGCAGTGGCCCAGGTTATGATTCAGTCTTTTCACTTGTCCTCATGTGCACTCTTCAACGCTCAGATGCAGGATGTAAGTGCCCCCCCCCCCCCCCTCCCACCCCAATTCTTTCCATCTCTGGCCAATACTTAGATGTGTGTGAAGTTAAGTGACGAGATCGTTTGTGATAGCTCACTTTTACTTTAAGAACCACACATGTAAGCATGGACAGCGTTGGCCGTTTTTTTTTGTTGTTGTTGTATTTGAGTGTTATGGCTGTTCTTGTGGAGTGGTTCTTTCTTCTCCTGCTCAGTATTTTTCCTCCACAAACCCACAAGTGTCGCACATCTAGTCTGTGTATTTTGATGGTATTTTGTGTGGTATTGTTTACATAAAACTGAATTGAGTTAATATTGCACATATTTACTCTTTCTGTTTGGATTCATGTTTGTACCCCGAGTCTAAATATACACAGATGACCTCACAGGATGCCTGAAAGTAAATCAATTGTAAATAAATTCAGCGTGATGTCCGTTGTATTGGGCTTTAGTAAAATAGCAGAAAACTTGTAAATAAAAATGGAATTGAGTGTTCAGATAGATTTGAGTATTGTGAAGAATTAAACAATAGTTGATGCTAAAACTGTTGGGTAAGATGGATTGAATTGTTTGGTAGAACTAACTGTATAACCCTGCTATTAAAATGGTTGTCACTTTTACTTTGTAAATATTTAGCTCTTACCATTATATTTTATACATTTATAACCTACTATTTGTTACCAGGGCTCATAAATTACAACTAATCCTCAGATACTTAAGTTACATTTTGCAGTATGATACAATAGATGTTTGTTGTTGAGGTTTTCTTATGGTTCAGGTAACATTATACACATAGTAACACAAGAAGTTTGGCAGGTTCACAAAACAGTTTAAATGCTATTAATGTTGTCTTAACACACCAGTGAGTCTTAATCTTTACTAAATGTTTCCTCCTTTCATTTAATTGTGGATCATCGTCATCCATAATCTCTGAGTGTCTCCTATTCTGAGTCCAAACGATGATGTCACGCCCCGGTGCTCTGTGTTGTGCTGAGTTTGAAGTGGATATCTGTTTCTATATATTTTTTTTATTCCAGTCAGTTGTCAGATGTACTGTTAGGTTTTGTTGTCTCCTCTGTTGCCTCTTTGCTGTCCCTCTTCTCCAACGCTCCACCATGCTGCTCCTCACTGCTCGCTGTCTCTGTGGCTCCATAGGAGCAGGAGTTTCTACAGAAACAGCAACAAGAGCTGGATGGAGCTCTGAAGAAAATTATCCAGCAGCATAAACTGGAGATAGCCACCATCGAGAGAGACTGCCTCAACCACAAACAGCAGTTGATGAGAGGTAAGGGATGGAGACTGGGAACACTGAGGCCAGTCACACAGCTTGTACAAGATGATAATGTAGAGTCTCACTGTCTTCACACATCACCTCGTTTTTCAGTTCAAACTGAGCTGAGTTACCAGTAATGCCAGCAGTCTGCTCTCTGGCTGTCATAAAGTACAAACATTTATTCCACAGCAACTTAAAATGTTAGTGGACAAAGATACTTTCAGTTTAGACTAGAGGTATGCTGCTAAAGCGAGCACGTGACGGTCAGATAACTGTTGTTTGGGAGGACATACTGAAACCTGTCCAGCTTGCTGGCAGCTGTTTTTGTTTATATTTCCCCATTCGTCCCTGTCCATCATGCAGATTCAAAGCTCTACGTCACGTTTGTGTTTTGTAGCTCGGGAGGCAGCGATGTGGGAGTTGGAGGAGCGCCACCTGCAGGAGAAGCACCAGCAGCTGAAGCAGCAGCTGAAGGACCAGTACTTCATGCAGAGACATCAGCTGTTAAAGCGGCATGAAAAGGTAGATCAGAGAGAAGTGCATGCAGAGTAATTTATGCCCCGAAATACATAACCCTGGACTAAAGATTGGTGTGTATTTTGTTTTTTTTAGGAAATGGAGCAGATGCAGCGCTACAACCAGCGTTTGATAGAGGAGCTGAAGAACAAACAAACTCAAGAGAGAGTTCGCCTGCCCAAGATCCAACGCAGCGATGCCAAGACGCGCATGGCCATGTACAAGAAGAGCCTCCGCATCACCGCCACAGCAGCCATCACTCCGGACCAGGAGAGGGAACGGATAAAACAGGTTGTTATTTCTACTTGTGACATTTAGAAGGGATTGGTCGTATAGTTCGAGCTCACAGTCGCACCTAGGATTTGCCCAGTACAAACGGTTATTTAAATAAATCTCGTCTTTCTTAACCTGTGGGAAGTAAGATTAAAGAAACGTTTGTATAAACATTCACTGGCTTTATAACAATCAAAATGTTTCAGTTTATATTTTACTTGTTATGCAAGACCAGTTGGTTATCAGAAGAAATCATCTTAAAAAGCAGTCAAATGTACTGGTTTCAGCCATTGGGCTGTTTGTACTGGCCTGCTTCATAATGCACCTTGTAACTTACCACTGACCACAATACCTTTTTTTTACTCTGGGATCTTTTACGTTCGTCAAGAGGCTGACACTACGGTATAATCTCCATCCAGAATTTGAAACACATTTGTACCACCCCTAAAGCACATTGTGTCATCTTTCATCACCCCAGCTCTATGGTCAAGTTAAATAAATAGGTCAAAGGCTATACAAGGTCTTGTTTTGTCCTTTCCGTTGCTATAGATTGCTGTATAATAGTTTGTTGACGCCGTATGTAGTACTCTTGTTGTGGGGAAGTTGTTGTCACAGCTGTTTTTATCTCCCTGATTCAGTTTGCTTCACAAGAGGACAAAAGGCAGAAGAACGAGAGACTCCATCAGCACCAGAAACACGAGAACCAGATGAGAGATCTGCAGCTGCAGTGCGACTCGAACATCAGGGAGCTGCAGCAGCTGCAGGTCAGGATGAAACGCATCACAGATGGAATTAGAAACTCTACTATTAGAATAAAACAATGTTTTACAATAAATTCTCAGATTTAAAAAAAATCACATTGGATTATCTAGTGGTGTCTTTCTTTTATTTGCTTAATTTAGAAATTTTCTTCTTGCATTTTAAGAATCTATTGATAAGTTTTAGAAAATAAACAGTGACTTTAGAATAAACATTGATAAAACTCAAGTAGGTGTAGGATTTAATGTAAATTGTAAATTAAAAGCAAAGTATTATGTTGCGGTACAGATCAAGGTGGCAGTGTGCACGATTCAGTATTTTTGATGACACTCTGTTCTTACGTTTGTTCCAGAATGAGAAGTGCCACCTTTTGGTCGAGCATGAGACCCAGAAGCTGAAGGAGCTGGATGAGGAGCACAGCCAGGAGATGAAGGAGTGGAGAGAAAAGCTAAGACCCAGGAAGAAGGTACTTTTATTGTGTGAATGTTTATGAAGCATTCACACTATTGTGATCCATTTTTCTTCAGTGCGAACTTGAGCTTTTTAAATTATTTAGCCGTTTTTGCCACTTTTTTCTCATAGAAAATGAATTGAGCTCATTTTACATCGTTCAAATCTTCAGATCTGTTTACAGCCTTTTACTGCTCCTTTCACATTTTGTTCTGGTTCAGCTTCGTTGTGCAAATTGAAAAAACAATTTCAGCTACTTTCAGCTCATTTTAGCTGGGTTTTTTCCAGTCGTTTTGTGCTTCTTTCTGCTAACTACAAATTTTTTTGCTTCTTTTAACTTCTTTCTGCTAATTTCAGATTGTTATGCTCCTTTTAACTTATTTCTGCTATTTCAACTTTTCTGCTATTTCAGTTGCTATTTAGCTGTTTTATGCTAACTAACTTTTTCAGCTAATTCCACATTTTTTTACACTAATTTCAACATTTTTCAGCCTATTTCAGAAAAAAATATGCTCTTTACTTCCTTCTTGTAATTTAAGCTTCTTTCTGCTTTTTAGCTACTTTTCAGCTGTTTATTTATTTATTTATTTATTTTGCTCATTTCAGCTTTTTACAAATAATTTCCACTTTTTTGGGCTTCTTTCTTTCTGCTAACTAGAACATTTTTGTGTTCTAACTTCCTTCTGCAATTTTAAGCTTGTTCTACCTTTTCAGCTAACTTTTTAGCATTTCATAGCCAATTTCAGCTGTTTTCAGTTCAATTAAAAAATTTTGTGGTAATTTCTGCAACTTTCAGCCTAATTATTTCTTTCTGCTAGTTTCAGCTTGTTCTACTACAAACCGGATTCCAAAAAAGTTGGGACACTAAACAAATTGTGAATAAAAACTGAATGCAATGATGTGGAGATGGTAAATGTCAATATTTTATTTGTAATATAACATAGATGACAGATCAAAAGTTTAATCTGATTAAATGTAACATTTAAAGGAAAAATATGTTGATTAAAAATTTCACAGTGTCAACAAATCCCAAAAAAGTTGTGACAAGTAGCAATAAGTGGCTGGCAAAAGGAAATTGAGCATATAACGAACAGCTGGAAGACCAATTAACACTAATTAGGTCAATTGACAACATGATTGGGTATAAAAAGAGCTTCTCAGAGTGTCAGTGTCTCTCAGAAGCCAAGATGGTAAGAGGATCACCAATTCCACCATTGTTGCGCAGATAGTGCAGCAATACCAGAATGGTGTTACCCAGCATAAAATAGCAAAGACTTTTAAGTTATCATCATCAACCGTGCATAACATCATCAAAAGATTCAGAGAATCTGGAACAATCGCTATGCGTAAGGGTCAAGGCCGTAAAACTCTACTGGATGCTCGTGCTCTCCGGGCCCTTAAACGTCACTGCACCTCAAACAGGAATGCCACTGTCAAGGAAATAACAGAATGGGCTCAGGAATACTTCCAGAAAGCATTGTCAGTGAACACAATCCACCGTGCCATCCGCTGTTGCCAGCTGAAACTCTACAGTGCAAAGAGGAAGCCATTTCTAAGCAAGCTCCACAAGCTCAGACGTTTGCACTGGGCCAGGGGTCATTTAAAATGGAGTGTGGCAAAATGGAAGACTGTTCTGTGGTCAGATGAGTCACGATTTGAAGTTCTTTATGGAACACTGGGACGCCATGTCATCCGGACCAGAGAGGACAAGGATAGCCCAAGTTGTTATCAACGCTCCGTTCAGAAGCCTGCATCACTGATGGTATGGGGTTGCATGAGCGCTTGTGGCATGGGCAGCTTGCATGTCTGGAAAGGCACCATTAATGCAGAGAACTATGTTCAGGTTCTAGAACAACATATGCTCCCATCTAGACGTCATCTCTTTCAGGGAAGACCCTGCATTTTTCAACACGATAATGCCAGACCACATTCTGCAGCAATCAAAACATCATGGCTACGTAGGAGAAGGATCCAGGTACTGAAATGGCCAGCCTGCAGTCCAGATCTTTCACCTATAGAGAACATTTGGCGCATCATAAAGAGGAAGGTGCAACAAAGAAGGCCCAATACGATTGAACAGTTAGAGGCCTGTATTAGACATGAATGGGAGAGCATTCCTGTTTCTAAACTTGAGAAACTGGTCTCCTCTGTCCCCAGACGTCTGTTGAGTGTTGTAAGAAGAAGGGGGGATGCCACACAGTGGTAAAAATGGACTTGTCCCAACTTTTTTGGGATTTGTTGACGCCATGAAATTTGGAAACATCAGATTTTTCCCTTAAAATGATACATTCTCTCAGTTTAAACTTTTGATCTGTGATTTGTGTTCTATTCTGAATAAAATATTAGATGTTGACACCTCCACATCATTGCATTCAGTTTTTATTCACAATTTGTTTAGTGTCCCAACTTTTTTGGAATCCGGTTTGTATTTATTCTACTATTTAGCTGCTTTTGTGCTAAATTTAGCTTTTTCAGCAATAATCATTCACACTATATTTCCACAGGAAATACAATTTCTCTAGTTGTTCATTCATGTCTAGATTATTTCTTGAGGTTTTTTCAGATTTCTTATTGTCATCTCTGTCTGACTCGGCTGTTTGTGCTGCACCCTGCAGGCTTTAGAGGAAGAGTTCACGCGGAAGCTCCAGGAGCAGGAAGTCTTCTTCAAAATGAGTGGTGAATCTGAATGCCTTAACCCCACCACCCAAAGTCGAGTGTCCAAGTTTTACCCCATCCCAAACCTGCAGAACTCTGGTTTATAGCCTCATACGTCCAAGTTCTACAAATCTGTCAAACAAGTCCGTGCTCACTGCATTTTCCTGGTAAAACCTTTTATTTATATTACTGATCAACATGAAAATGTAATTCCTTTTGATTTGATTGTTTGAGAGCATGATGTGCCTACACACGGTTCCCTCACTCGATAAGGTTTTCTCAGCTTTCTGAGAAATATCTCACGATTTTTGCACTTTTCGAGCATGTTGAGATTGGGAGTTAAAGTCCGTCATGCTCGTCAGATGAACGTAAGCACAGCCTGCAACAGTATGAATAATCTCCAGTGCCTCGTGTGTTTTTTTAAAGGATTTTCAGCTTGTTTTTTTTCTATGCTTTTCTGCTGCTTGCATAAATAAAGAGCCCCCTGAATGTTTTGCACCTAATCATTGCTGTTCGTGCTCACAAGATGTTGAAAGATTTGTTCTAAGCATTTCACATAAACGTGTTTAATGTCTGAGAATTAGTTCGGCTGCATGTAAAGTCAATGTTGATGAAGGCGAATCAAAAAGCTAATTCTATGACTGTGATGGTTGTCTTATGAGCGCTGTTTAACGTCGTCGTGCGAGTGTTTAAGTATATAACTGTGGGTTCAAACTAAATAGAATGTACTGAGATGTGTGCTGCGTACATGTGAAGATTGATTACCAACCGCTTTACGAAAATTTGACGTTTTGCGAGAGAAGGAAATAAGTTTATTTATTTAGCACATCCTGTCATTTCAGCCTGATGAAGCCCGTGCTGTTCAGATTACTGTTACGTTACTTTTAAAGTTTTTTTTTTTTTTTTCATAATGTTTGCAAGAAAATGATTTATTGTAAAGTTTGAGTTCTAAAGGAGTGTAATGGTTTGCACTGTTATGAGCTAAAAAATACAAACATGTAAACTTTACCCTTTGGGATTTAAACTAGCAAATTGTTTCAGCATATTAATTTTTTTTAACTCGTTTTATCATTTAGAAAAATTTCCCTTTATTTTTACATCCTTGTTTTATTTTCCAAGCTTTTATTCGTCATCTTGTCATGCTGTAATCGCTGCCATGGCGAGCGGGAGTTCGGTGCTGTTCCCGTATGAATTTCAGTGTTTGAATCGGGGGAAGCCCTCGGCTGGATTTTGCCGCCACGTATCAACAGCCCATCTTAGTTTTTGTATACTAACATCATCTAGAGTTTTTTTTTTTTTTCCATGAATGCTGGAGTTTTCTTGGAGCTAACAGACACGGTTCAATGCATAATTTCATTATATATTTTTTTTTATTTTAAGTTGCATCATTTTGATTTCTCATGCTACCATTATGAATCATATTATATGCATTTTTTGATGTCATAGCACACGTATTGAATGCATCTTTTTAAAATGCCCGTTTTTTTCATGTAAATAAAATACTGACTGTGCATTTGATTTTTGAGTGTTTTGAAATCAAATAAGTCATAAAAACATCGAGTCACAAGTCAAAAAATAGATTTATTTTCGTCTTTCAAATATATTGATCAAAAGCTCGTTCATGTTTATAATTTAATAATTCCTTAACTCAAAGGTATACAGAAAATGTATCAAATTCAGTGCTCTTAAACAAAAATATACAATTGAATCAGCCATGTCTCACTGATCATCCCAGTCCTGTCTGTCTATCATACATACGCATTTTGTCTTTTTACCAACAACCTTTCAAGTAAATCTTAAAATAACCTTCTTAAAATGACCCTCTCTCTGACTGAGACTGAGTCAAGTTCAAATATTAATGCTTAGTTTTTAGAGTACAATATTTTGTTTTTAATGGGATGAATGCATGATGGATATTTACGTTTTTTATAGTCCTCAATTACAATCTAACCCTCAAATCTCAGCAAATATATAAAAAATAAAATGTTAAAAAGATGCCATTAAAATTCTAAGCGCCTGCTACTTATTGGTTGATAATGCATATTCTGTCAAACAAAGCTGCCCCGATAAAGTGAATGCAAGCTTCTAATTAAGCGAAGTAAACATTATACACCCGCATGTTAACAATTGGAAATCTGCGTCACAAAAACGCAAATCAAAGCCCCCTGGAAGAAACGGTTGTAAGGAGACAAATGCATTTTTATTTTCTCAAACATTTCTCATAAAAAAAGACAAAAGATAGAGCACATCTGACCTGTTTGGCACAGTTTAACAAATAAAAAGTCAAAATGAATAAAAGTGAAATACAATTTGACCCCGTGCAGTAGTACACCCTTCAGCCACCGGTGGTTTGACGACGATGCTGCTTATGACGACCCAGTTTGTTACCTGCAGAGGATGAATAGAACAGTGCAGCAATGTGACAAGTTCAGTAATACAAGCAACGACATTGTCCCGTACAGCGGGGTATTTATCAGAGACTACCTCCAGAACTTGACAGTGGGGAGGATGCCTACAATGTTAACCTCAACCCCATTGAACGCCTATGGAATCAGCTTAGGTGTGCTGTTCATTCCAGAGTGACCAACACAACCACACCCATCCCACAGCAGTGTTTGACCAAGCTGGTGGGCAGCATGAGGAAGAGGTGCCAGGCTGTTGTGGCTGTGTATGGTTCTTCCACATGTTACTCAGGCACTTGTTTGGTAAATTGAGCCATTGTTAAATTGGCAATGTCTTGTTCCTCAAGACTTCAATTACACAATCCAATAAACTACAACAAACAATAATCTATACTAGAATAAACTGGAGAAGATTTGGCAATTTTTTTTTCATGGGGCAACCCACATACTCAACTTTGCTGCTCCACTCACAAATGCATTTTCTCAACAAATGTGGCATAATTTATGGAGAAATTTAAAGCCTTTCCAGTAGCACAAGAGACATTGCCAAGATGACAACAAAAAAAGATTCATCACAAATGGCCTTACCCTTTGTGCTGTTTATGCATCTTTATCTTTTTTTAAGTGATTTGACTCATTTGAGTAAAGTTACCTGCTTCTCTCTTCTGCACTTTGTGTGGAATCTGGACAGTATAAGAGCCTGGTATTCCAGGTAAACCTGGTGGTCCAGCATCACCTGTAAATAAATAAAACCATTGGTTGTGATTCCTCTGTTATTCCTGAAAATGTGCAATAATGTTGCATCAGTTCTGTTTCAATGTACCCTTGTCTCCTTTAGGCCCTGGGTACCCTCGATCTCCTTTGGGTCCTGAGATTCCTGGAGGACCAGGGATGGTGCCGTAAGCTGTGCAAAAGAAAACATTGGATTCAGTCAGGAATTCAGCAAAAAACGTCCAGCTTTTTGGAATTCTGGTTTAGAAGTTTTGCGTAGAACAGTATATTTCTGTATCCTCACTCCTGAAGAAGTCCATAAGGTCAGCTGTGATATTTCCATGGGTTCCGATCACGCGACTGTAGCCAGGTGGTCCTGGAGGGCCAGGTGGACCGGGAGGGCCTTGAATTGCTCGGACATTTGTCCTCCAAGGTCCCTGTGCAATATACTGCTGCAGCAGACCTTGATCTGTGAAACGATAGTAGAACATGTAGTCAGAACATAATTCTCATGCATCTTTTAGAAGGAAATTCTCTCATTGGTATTTAACCCAGCACCGTTAAGTTCCAGTGGTGTAAGATAACAAATCTTGGGTGTTTAACATAAAGTACTGTATTTAAATTTGGAAGCCATATTTCACTCACTCTTGATGTAGTCTGTGACTTTCATGGCAACGCTGGAGTAGTCCATGGTCTCGGTGAGTCTGCTGGCATCAGTCTCTCTGCGCTGAGCGCCGTAGTGCGAGTCGCCGTGTGTGTAACTCTGGCTCTGCATGTAGCTCTGAGAGTAACCAGGCTCTCCACGTTCCCCCTTCTGACCCATTGGACCTGGAGGTCCTGGAGGGCCGACAATCATCCGTCGAACATTGTCACCTGAAAGAAACATGTAGTTAGAATCAATGCTGCTGTTGGTTTTGTACGCCGATTGTGATCACACATATTCATCTTGAGTTGAGTGATGTTTGCATCATGACCAAGCTCCTCCACTTTGGTTGTGTTGGTCCAAAAAGACATTTTCTGTCTGTGTGTGGGCTGTAAGATGCTTACTGGTCAGATACTGCTGAACTTCGGCGTGGATGCTCTCTCCAGGGAAGTTTCCACTGTAAGAAACTGAACCAGTGACAGTGCCTGGTGGACCCTGTGGACCTGGAGGACCAGGAAGGCCAGGCTGACCTCTGAATCCTGAACCTAAAGAGTGAAAAGCAAAATGAGGAGACATAAAAAAAAATCCAATAATCAAGCAAGTTATCCTGATGCATGCTCAATAATCCAGGTAGAAAAATCTAAAAAAATTAAGTCTGGTCCTCTGGACATTCAAAAAAACAAAACAAAAAAACCTGTAGAAACGTTTCGTCTTTCATCTGAAAGACTTCCTCAGTCTGAGGTGCTGTATTCAGCTCAGTCTTATAAATAGCACCTTCTCGAAGTGGATCAACCAGTTTGCTGCTGACAACCAAAACCAGCTGATCACATGATCAAGGAGGACCATCAGCCTAACAATGGATCATTAGCACACTGATGGCTGTTTGCTATTCACAGGGGGCTGAGTGATACTAGCAATAACAGCAGTGTAAGAGGGGGACAGTTGAACACGGAGGGCTCCACCCGTTTAATGATGGACGATTTCTTTTCACAAAGATGGCCTCCTTTACTCCTCTCTAAAACCATCGTTCCTCTCTATCCAGGATGTGCACATCTCCATCCCTGAACGAGTGACTGCTGGCCTGGAGATGAGTGTAGACCGCAGAGTCCTGGCCTGATGTTATTGATCTTCTGTGCTGGTCCATCCTTTTGGCCGGTGGCTGTTTAATTTCCCCGATGTAAGACTGATCACAGCCCTCCTGATACTGAACAGCATACACAATATTATTCTGTTTGTGCCAGGCGACTGGATCACTCCAAAGGGTGATGGGAGTCAAACTGCAAATACTGGTCTGTGTGGGTGGGTTTGCGGTACACCTCAGTTTGCAAATGTTCTCTATCAGAGACTGAGACCTCACAGTCCAAGAAAGCCAACCTGCCATTTTTTACGTCTTCTTGTGTGAACTTGATGTATTTATCCACAGAGTTGATGTGGTCAGTAAAATGTTGGACTTCCTGAGATTTAATTTTAACCCAGGTGTCGTCAACATACCTGAACCAATGACTTGGTGGTGTCCCTGAAAAGGACGTCAAGGCTCTCTTTTCTACCTCCTCCATGTACAGGTTGGCAACAATAGGAGAAACTGGAGACCCCATAGCACACCCATGTTTCTGCCTATAATATTGCTCCCCATATGTGAAGTAGGTTGACTGCAGGCACAGTTTCAAGAGTTGACACAGTTGTTCTGTGGAAAGCGTGGTCCTGCTGCTCAGAGTGGTGTCTGATTTTAATTTTAAACTGACCACCTCTACTGCATCATCAACAGGAATGCACGTAAAGAGCGATGTGACATCAAAAGAGACCATTGTTTCATCAGTCTCCATGATGACATCCCTTACCTTATCCACAAAGTCCATGGTGTTCTGTATGTGATGTGAGCTGCCAACTAAAGGGATGAGTACTGACGCCAGATATTTGGAAACATTGTAAGTGACAGAGTTAATCATGCTAACAATTGGTCTTAAAGGTACACCTTGTTTGTGGATTTTTGGTAAACCATACAGACTAGGTGTGGCCTCCCCTGGGTACAGTCTGTGGTACAGAATACAGTCAATAGCTTTGTCTTGCTCCAAAATTTCAGGCAATCTATTAACTTCTTCTTGTAGCCACTTCCTGGATCTCTTTTCAGTGGATCATAAGTGGTTAAGTCACTAAGGAGTGTTATAACTTTCTCATGATAGTCTTTCTGGTTCAAAATATCACTGTGCACCTTCCTTTGTCTGCTGGGAGAATGATGATGTTTTTGTCCTTGCTAAGAGTGGTGAGTGCATCCCTCTCCTCTCTACTGATGTTGGAAGGTGGTGGTTTGGCATTGCTGAGGCAAGCTGAAACTTTGATTCTGAGCTGTTCTGCCTCACACTCTTTAATTTGGTTGTTGCGGATGGCTGACAGTGGCTGTGATCATCTCCACCAGAGGAATTCTTCTTAGTACAACTGCAAAGTTCAGTCCCCTGGCAAGAATCTCTGTCTCCGGCTGGGTGAGCTGACTGTCAGATAAATTATTCACCCACTTATCTGTCTCCCTGTTGTGTAACTGTCTACTGGAGTGTTGTCTTCCGCTGAATGTGTTGTTATTGGAATTATGATGGTGTTGATGAGTTATCAGTAAGTTAAACTTGTTTTGTTGTCGTGTTTTGGACTTGACTCGCTGTGCTAAGTGCTAAGCATTCAAGCAAGTTGTCGCAAATATACATAAATAAATGATTTCCTCCCGTCAGACCCACCCTGCAGGTAACGCTGAATATCCTCCAAGCTGTAGCCACGACCTCCTGACCCAAACACCGTGGCAGTTGAGATTCCAGGAGGCCCCTGAGGACCAGGAGGGCCAGGTAGCCCTGGCACACCTGGAGAACCAGGAGGACCTTGTTGTACTGCAGAAGTGATCCACGAACGGAAATCTGGATCTAATTATAATAAGATTAAAACAAAAACACATGTATGAGTGAGTGACCCTTAAAAAACTTTGTCCCTATCCAGTTTGTATCTGTTAGATCAAACTTTAAAAAGGATCTTACTTCTGATCAGTGCAGAGTAGTCGAGCGTAGCAGTTGTGAAGCCAGAGGCTCCCACACCCGAAGCTCCAGGAGGCCCAGGGAGACCCCGTGGCCCTGGTGGACCTCTTGCAATTCCTCTCTCTGAAAATCATAATCAGTTGATTGACTGACACCACTTTCCAGGTCAGAGTTTTCCTTTGCAAACTGATCTTACCATTCATGATATTAAAGACATATGTGGCTATCTCTTCTATTCTGTAAGTGCCTGAAAGTCCTCCTGGTGGTCCTGGAGGCCCTTGAGGCCCTGGTGGTCCAGTCAAATATCTTCTCACATCGTCTCCTATGACAAGACACACAGTTTAGTTTGGTACGTCTTCTGAAAAAGCCCTTTTGAGTCAGACAAGATGAAGATGATAGTTAGATGCAGAAGGTTGATCTGAATCTGAGGCTGCCTGGTCCAGTTAGAGCTACTCACGCTGAAGCATGGCAATGAGAGCAGTGACTGTCAGGGATCCAGAGGCGGGTCCAGGTGGTCCAGGTGGTCCTGGAGGACCCTGAACACCAAATCTCAGACCTGAATCAGATCCTAAATGAACACAATTCCATTAAGGCTATTATGTCTCACTAATTCTGTGGGTAAATATTTATTTAACACTATAAATCCTCACGTTGAATATATGTAATGATACGAGCAGAGATGTCCTCTAGTGACCCCGAGAAGGTTCCAGGAAGTCCTGGAGGTCCAGGTGGGCCTGGAGGACCTTGCATACCACTAAGTCTGTATCTACCTGTGGAGAAAATAAAGCTCATCAATAACGTGGGCTTCCCTTTTTATTACCACATCTCTTCAGAAAGACTCACTCAGATAGTCAGTGATGTACTGCCGCATCTCACTACTAGAGGAAGTGAAGGAGCCAGGGGGGCCAGGGGGACCTGGAGGACCAGGGGGGCCGGAGGTGACTGAGACTGAGCCTGAAAACAATAGCGATGATAGTTAGAACCTGGTGGAAAGCAACTGGTTTCTTTGAAGCTACCATGAACCATTCAAGTTTTACAGAAAAAATAAGATTTGTTCTACAAATAATAAGAATATTTAACGTTGAGGGTTATGATTGTTTTACCCCTTGAGGCGCCTGGAATCCCAGGAGCTCCAGTGTCCCCTTAGAAATAACAATAAATAAATAAATAAATAAACAGTGATCATCACATAACACACACAGACAGGAATCTAAACTGCATGTGGTCAGGTTTACCTTTGACTCCAGGTAGTCCTGGTCTTCCAGGAGGTCCTGGTGGACCTGGTGGCCCAGGGATCTGGTTTCCTTCATAGGTTAATACATTAAGAATGAATAAAGGTACAGATAAACTCCAACTTATCACAAGTTTGTTTGTGTAACACATCTGTTGGTTTAAAGAGAGACTCACCTCCCCCAGAGCCTGGAATCCCGGGCACTCCTGGTGAGCCTGGTTCACCTGAAACACACGTGACAGTGATTCATACTGGAATAATTACCAAGGACCTGATGGTAGTTTTATAGCTGCACACCAGATTAGATGTATTTATACAGTATATAATTAAAAACAACTGTGTTGGAAAAATTGCTTCACACAAAACAATAAATGAAATAATACCAAACAAAATACTTAATAAACAATAATAATTTGAGTTTTATAAATATTAAATTTGAAGTCATCTAATATTTTATCTTATATACAACCACTTATATAACCTCTGGAAAAAAATATGGCACCAACACTACTGGGGGATGTTTGTTTTATTGTTTAATTTTACATTACATGTATTTAAAAAAAATCCCAGCTATGCCACAAAACTATTATTTTTTCCAAGTTCAAACATTTTGGCATTAAGAAACACTAACAAAGAAAGAAAAAATGTATTGAGTCACTTATTTTATCAAGTAGAGGAAAAGAAACATTGAATTACTATGTAATTTGTATTTCATAAGCATGTTCATCAGATTAAATCTAATTATTCTTTTATTAAAAAGAAGAGTCCTCACATCTTGGAGAGCTGTTGCACAAAGCAGACTGACTAGAACCATGACTCCAACAGAAAAGAGGTTGGTTGAAACACAGGAGGATTATGAAACTTTCAAGAATGTAAACCATCACAGAACGTTGCAAAAGATGTTGGATGTTTCCAGTCAGTTGTGTCTAAAATGTGGACCAAGTACAAACAGAATGGGAGGGTTGTGAAGGGGAAGTATGCTGCTAAAATAAGGAGGACATCAAAATCAACAAGATAGAAAACTTAAAGCAAAATATCTTGAAAACAGAAAATGCAGAACAAAACTAACAGGCATTAACATCTGTGATCGAACTGTAATAAATTGTCTAAAATCGTATTTACATACAGAAGGGTCAAAGGAAAACCACCACTAACACCCAAACCCATAAACCCACATATGAACAGGACTGCCTGAAGAAAACATGTACGGTAATTTCCACAGTCATCAATTTTCTGGGCCTGCATGTGTTAGACGACAGTCATCTTCTATAAATACTAAAGACAATAGTCTCATGTTGGACACTTTTCTTACTCCATCAGTTGGTGAGGGTGATAATATATCTTGCCAAAGGGCAAAGGACATGAAAACTTGCCTTCGGGTGAGACATATACAGTAGTAGTCCCTCGTATAGCGAGGGTTTCTGTTCTCAGTACCCCCGCGGTAAGTGAAAATCACGAAGTAGGAGTAGTAGTACAAGTAAATGGACTATACTTATATAGCACCTTTCTATCTTATCAAGACGCTCAAAGCACTTTACACTACAATCTGTGTCTTCATTCACCCATTCATACAACACTCTACTGTATTTATACAAAGAATAATCAGTGGTTTATCACAACACCGATGGGCCACACATCGGAGGCAATGAAGGTTCAGTGTTTTGCTCAGGCACACTTCGACATGTGACTGCTGGTGGAATAAAACCCCCAACTCTCCAAATGGAGGATGACTGCTCTAACCACTCGGCCTCAGCTGCCCCTACTTAAGTAGTAATTAGTAGTATATTTTAGTGTATATATAGACATATATATATATATATATATATATATATAT